CTTTCGCACTGGCGGTTCCACGCTCCCTTCCAGCACCCTGGGGCCACAGCCCTTCCCCCAGAAATCAGCCCCGTGCACACCTTCACCTCCTCCCAGCCTTTAGCCCAGAGTCTCCACGATTCTCCGGCCACCCTGGTTAAAACTGCAGGGCCCTCCCTTCCACCCCCAGAAACGCGACAGAAAAACAACCCTGGTTAATTTGCCCCATCTCGGTTATCACCATCTGTTTTACTTAGTTTTTCCTTTTTTTCCTTATTACATTGTAAGATCATTCACAACACATTTTTGAGGTCTTTTTTTTTCCTACTCTCAAGACTCTTCCCCCACAGAAAACACCTAGCACCAGGCTGGTGCTTAATAAATGGATGGTCAAATGACTCAATGAACAATGCAGAGGACAGTCAGGCAGGTGGTGAGTATTCTGCCCTTTAATTATGTCTCTTTCCATTCAGGCTGAACCAAATAGAATGGCCATTTCTTGTGAGTCAAAAGCAGCCAGATATTGGCCATTTCACAGAGTTTAACCTAACATGTTTCCCACGGCAGCCAGCAGGCCCCAGGGGGGTGGGGGCGACGCACGTCGAGGCCTCGCACACAGGAAGTGCCCAATAAGCGTTCACATGCTCCCAGCCCTTCACTCCAGGTGCAATTGCAAAGCACCTTCTGTCCATCTCAAGGAGGCAAGGCACAGACTGTAGACTTAATAAACAGAGGACCTGGCTGAATTATTTTCTGCTTCTCCTGAACATCTCTGTCCCCGATTTCTGATAAAGAACATAAACATAACAACACCTTATGCTCTAAAATAACCCATGCTCTGGCTAAACACAGCCCCTTCCCAGGGGAAAAAAGGCGAGCTGCCTGCCTCCAAAGGGATTTATTCGATGATGGTGGAGAGAGGTGGAAACATTATTTGGTATCTCTCGCATTATTGTACATTAACTGCTCTTTCCAATAAAGACTTCAGTTAAAAGAGATTTCAGTATAGAACAGGGGATATCAGAGCAGGACAAACCCAGTAGTCACTGAATCTACCCCCTTTCATAGACTGGGAGGTAAGGTAAAGAACGGGGAAGGGCTTGGCCTGAGGCCAGAGTGGAGGGAGGCAGAGTTCACCCTGGAACCTGTGCCTGCTGACTTCAGTCCAGTGGCCTTTCCGCCGCCCTCAGGCTCCTGGCTGTTGCACTCCCCTCCCCTCTCTGCAGTGACTTCCTTATGGGGGGAAGTCCTCAGAGTAGAATGCTAGGGGCAAAGGGTCATTTTCAGATCATTTTCATGGACTTCATGGCAAGCTGTCAGATTGTCCTGCAAGATCAAACCCACGGGAGAATCCCGACAGCCTTGTCAGCAGAGAAGCTTATCCTTCACATTTACTTATGCTAATTTTAGTGTAGGAATAATACAGACGGCTTTCATTTGCTGAATGGTAGGTGTTTACACACACACACACACACACACACACACACACACACACACACTCACACTCTGGTCTTGGAACCAGGATCCCTGGGCTTGGTTTCTGGTTTGCCTTGTGGTCTTAGATAGGTCGCATCCCCTTTGGGGACAGGGGACACCTATCTGCAAAGTGATGGGGTCGGAGGAGATGATTTCTGAAGATCCCTGTCGGCTTGGACATTTGTAGTTCCACTGTAGATTTTAAAATTAGCATGAAATGACTTTAAAAAAATCCTCACCTAAGAATATGTTTATTGATTTTAGAGAGAGAGGAAGGGGGAGAGAGAGAGAGGAAAAAAATCGATGTGAGAGAGAAACCTCAATAGGGTGCCTCCTGTATGCGCCCCAATTGGGAATCAAACCTGCAGCCTAGGTGTGTGCCCTGACTGGGAATCGAACCTGCAACCTTCTGGTGCATGGGACGATGCTCCAAGTGACTGGGCAACCCAGCCAGGGCGGGATGAGTTTTTGATAATGAATCTGTCATGCTTTTAAACCAGGACAAAATGGCTTGGACCAGCCAGGCAGGAAACAGGGCCCAGATTATACACGTGTAGAGATGACAGGAGACTTAGGAAGCACGTAAGCCCGTGCATCAGAGTTACACGCAAGCGACAGCACATATACTTAGTCTGCTTTTATGAGGGGCTAATAACACTCATTTGTGGTCTAGCTCCAAGTCCTGTGTGGCCCCACCATGGCCAGAAGGCAAGGGCATGGCCATTTTACTTCAGCCCTCAAAATCCCAGACTCGAGGTCGAAGGTGGCTCACCCAGCCTCTGCTCACATACCTCTGCTGACACAGGTGGCCCCTGCTTTCTCTTGGTTGTAAGAAAGCTCCAGGGAGAGAAGCAGGTCATGAAGGAGACAAGGGAGACCAGAAGGCCCAGATTTGGTTCTCAGAAACTATGCCTCAATCAGGGCAGGCAACGGAAGATGGGGAAGAGGGCCAGTCAGCAGGAAGGGCCTGGTGAAGGGCTCCTCTGGCTCCTCTTGCTCCAGACCTCTAAGGCAGCCGCTGACCAGAAGGCACGCAGGAAGTGCAGGGACATTCTGGTCTTAGCCTTGAGTGGGCTCCAAACAAGCCCCAGGTGGAGTCTTGCCTTTGGTCTCTTTGGCTCCCGCTGGAGAAACTGCTGGGCCTGGGGCCATTCAGCTTGGAGGTGAGAGGATCTGGGGAGGAGGGGTCAGATGTTGTCTATGGGGTCAGATGTTATCTGTGCCCAGAGCAGCCTGTGAGATCCCCACATAATGGGTGTGCCACGGGTAGCAAGACCTTCCGGAAGGAATCTTTCAGAGGGGCTGGACCAGATGCCAGAGGTCTTTACTTAGAGAGCATCGTCGGGCCACAGTTCTTCAGACTGTGCTCTGTCTCAGACCCACCCCCTACCCAACTCACAGCTCTCTTAGCACTGTGGGGCCTCTGGGGTCCGCACTTTGATGTGAGCCGGTCCCGTCACATCCGGCTGGGACATGGAGCTGGGTGCCAGCACCTGAGCATATTTAAGGGACTTCCCATATTATTTCCTAAAACCAGGCGCATGCAGGCAAGTCTGCCACCGAGGACCCCACCACCTCCACCTCAGGGACCCCCTAGCCCCAGACTGCGAAGCAGACTTGGCCGGCAGACTCTGACCGCCCCACCTTGCATGCCCAGGCCGGCTCAATAGGGACCTAGGGGTGTTCCCACCTTCTGCTTTTCATACGGAGGGGGAGAGTCCTAACACGGTCCCGAGGAGCACTCAGGCCACAAGGGGGCCTGTCTGGGCTGGCTGGCCACACCCAGGGTGAGCGGGCCTCGCTGCGGGCGAGCGGGGTGGGCGGTGCAGACAGTGCCCATCCGGGCCCTAGCCGTCGGGAGCTTGAACCTTGGGGCGGCCTCTCGTCACGGCCCAGTGAGGAGGGAGCCACCATTGCTTTCTATCCGGATGGGGAAACTGAGGCCTGGAGAGGAGCAGTGCTTTGTGCAAGGTCACGCGGAGGGGCTGGAAGCCAGGTCCCCCGTGCCCCGCCAGGACCCCGCGGTGCGCCCTGACCCAGCATCCCTCCCGGGGTGCTGCAGCAGAGGGACGCAGCACACACACAGCGCGCAGACCAGGAAGGCATGGCTGGCAGCGCAGGGCCGCCCTACCTTGATGACGGCCGCGCAGGTGGCGGTGGCGTCCGGATCCGGCTCTGAGCTCCTCGCCGCCCTCGGAGTCCCCGCGCCCAGAGCCACCGCCTCCTCCCCCCCGCAGCCTGGCGGGCGGGGCGGGTGGGCGGGGCAGGAGCCCGACACAAGCCCCGCCCGCGCACCCCGCGGGGGCACCCCTCCTTCCCCACTCTCCTGACTGCTCTCCTGGCCCCCCGAGGCTGGTCTCGGGGCGTGCACATACGCACAAAACAGGCGCGCACACGCCGCAGTCATTGGGGAGGGCTCCCCGGCGACCAGGCTAAGGCTGGGGACAGTCAGACCCTTCTGGCTTCACATCCCGCCAGTCCCTGGCTGCATGGCACGGACAAGGTACTCGACTTTCCGCAGCCTCCGTTTTCCCCCTGGTGAAATGAAAACAGTAATCGCATCGGCCTCAGAGAGCTATTTGAGAATTAGAGGAGACGATCTAATTTACCCGCTTGGTAAAGTGCGTGCGCAGAGCCCGCCACAGAAGCGCTAGGTAAACTCAACCCGGGAGAAGAGCAAGCAGCGCCGCCCCAGTGTCGGAAGGACACTCCCGTCCTTCTTGGGGTAGCCAGGAGGGGGCGCTGCTGCGCAGTCTGGCAGGCTTGGGGTGGGTCCTAAGTACCCTAGGAATCCGGAGATGCGGGTTGGGGCGCGCCTTTGAATAACCACCAGCTAAAGCTTACAGAATCAGGAACTGTTCTATGCACTTTAAAAGCATTACCTCACTCAACCGTCACACAAGCCTACGAGGTTACTTATTTTACATATATTTTACATATCAGGAAGCTGAGAACACAGCTATAATTCAACACTAGGCAGCGTGGCTCCCGAGCCCAAGCTGATACCCACTCCACCTCTCCTGAGAGAAGCTCCTTGTTTTGTTCGGTGTTGTATCTGCAGGGCTTAGAACGATGCCTGCTGCAACATAGGAGGCACGCAGCATTTGCTGAGTGAGCGACAGCACATACTATGTCCTATCGAATGTTTTATTTCATTTAATCCTGGTAACTCCTCTATTTCGCCACCAGGATTACCCCCACCTTACAGATAAGAGGAAAATCGAGGCTTAGAGTCGCTAAGTACTTGGGGGCTCTTGTTTATCTCCTTAGAAAGAACAGCCAGGGCCAAAGCCCGAGACTCGGTGTTCCCCTGGGCGGCTGTCCTGCCCAGAGCCCATTGATAGGCTCCCTGCCTGCCGCCCCGAGCCCAGCCCCGCGGTGTGGCCTGCCAAGCCTCAGCTCCGAGGCCCTGACCCGGGACTCCGAGAGCCGGCCAGCTCAGTAGGCCAACTGAACGCACATCTCAGTATCAGCATGACAGAGCTGGATCTTTGATGTTCCAAAGAAGCACACGAAAAATCACAATGTTGTGAGAGTTCCTTATACTTATGGTCCAGTGTTTCCTTTATTTTTAATTACACCTGGGGGGTGGGCACCATAGCCTTTTGAAGACTAAAGCATCTCAATGTCTTAATTCAGCTGCGGCGCAGGCAGTATCTCTCGCGCATCCTCCCACCCCCTTGCACACACACACCTCTGTGCCTTTGCTCGCACTCTCTCTTCCATGAGGAATTCTCTTGCCGCATCACCTCCCACTGCCTAAACCTACTCATCTTCCCTTCCAGGCTTGGCACTGGCACCCCTGCCTCCCCAGGAAGCCGTCCCAGATGCTCTGTGGATGTGCCCTCCCAGCCTTGCTTTTGCATCATCCCACCCCCTGCCATGGAGGTAGGTGGCTGGGGCTGTTTGGGGGAAAGCTGGTTTGACAGGGACCTCTGGGGCCTGTGGGCATGTGGACCAAGGGGCAGAGGGGAGGCCACTGGAGGGTTCTGTAATAAGGACCCTTCTTGGAGATGCTGTGTGTATATGGAGGGGGGGTCCTCACTTTCCTGCCCTTCCCCTCCCCCTAACCCAGGTCCATTTAAGGAAGGCTATTCCCGGACCAGTGTCTGCATTGTACACATGGGGATACTGAGACCAGAGTGGAGGTGACTTGCCCATGGGCTCCTAGCTAGAAAGCCACATAATAGGTCCAGCTCCAAAGTTGGGCTTATATGCCAGTACCTTGTACTGAGCCACACTGCTGATTGGGAGGGGCCAGGAAACCACCACCTTTCTTCCCTCTGTGGCAGCATAGACTATTTTGTTTAATTGGCCGTGGAAGGGACCAAAAGATGTGTATGTATGAGGCAAGTTCTCCACCTACCTGCCCAGTGTGGAGCTCTCTGCACCAAACGGCCTTGTGCCCTTGGGAGATTGAGGGGAAATAGAGGCAGCCACTCCCAGGAGGTGAGGGGGAGGAGTGGCCCTGAAGGCAGATGGTCTGTGGTGGGGGGCTCCTAGAGTGCCCTCCAGGCCTGTTTGCCTGCTTTGAGTCCCTGTATTCTTGGGAGTTTCTGCCCAGGGAGGTCCCCTGGATAACTCCTTCTACCTTCTCTGTAGAATGGAGTGCCGACCTCAGTGTGCTGGGGGTCTAACGCCTGGAGAGGGATGCTTTGAGCAAGAGGTCCCATCCCCTGGGGTAGGAAGGTGGGGCTGTGAGGGATCAGATCCTCCAGCCCTGGAAGGCTTTGGCCCCTGGGGATGGGGGCGACAGCTGCCATGCAGGGCCAGGAACCTGACACCAGCGGTAGGCCCCCAAACCCTCCAGGGGGAGCAAGGGGAGGGTGGGCTGGCTCTCTAGGAACAGCGGCAGCAGCAGCCCCAGGCCTTGTCAGGACTGCCTCCTCCCCCACCTGTCCCCGCTATGGCCAGCTGGTGGGGTGGGAGGCACTTCCTCCTATTCTCCCCTGCCTGGAGCCAACCCCACAGACCTGTACCGACCACTCAGCTGGCTGAGGGCCAGGCCCGCCCTTTCCTCTGCGTCCTCAGGAGGTGTTCTAGGTTCCATATAAGAGGTGGGGAGCAGGGAGGAGCCCTCCCTAGTTTTGTACTTAGGGACTTTAGATATGAGTGTGGCTTAAACTTCCCGTGGCTGTGTGACTCTAGGCAAGTGGACCAGCCTGACCCTTTCGCCCCTCATCTGTAAACCCAGCTTGGCCTGCAGTGGCTGGGGGCTCCAGGGCAGGGAGCTCTCATTCCTGGCTCTGGCTCTTGTCTGTCCGTCCGTCTACAGGACCGGAGGAGGCCCCATGCATTGGTCCTCATTGTTCTGTGGGCCTCCAGCCTCTGGGTGTCGTAATGCCCATGCCCTGCAACAGGCTCCGAGGGGCCCAGCACCAGTATTTTTAAAAAGCTGCTTGGGCGATTCTGTGGTGTAGTCACGTAGGGACAGGTCGGGTTACACAGGGCTGGGTTGACTGTGAAGGAGAGGGGAAGAAGGGTGGGAGATGAGGGAGGCAGGGGAGGGAGAGAATGGGCCAGGGCTGGAGGGGAAGCTGAGGGTCGACTGAAGAAGGAAGAGGTGGGAGTGGGTAGGGAGGAGGGACAGGAGAGCTGGGTGCCATTTATCTGGAAGCCTCTGCCTGATCTGGGACTGTGTACTTTTTTCGGAGGAAGGAATTTGGTTTTCAAGGCTGGAGTCCAAGGGCCCAGCTGGGCCCAGAGTCTCTGGGAGCCTTGGGCCTTCTCCCGGCATCTTCTGCATGAAAGGGCCACTCTAGCCCCGGTTCATGTAGGTCAGTGGATTGAGCACGGGCCTGCAAACCAAAGGATTACGATTTGATTCCCAGTCAGGGCACATGCGTAGGTTGCAGGCCAGTTCCCAGCAGGGGACGTGTGAGAGGCAACCATACATTGATATTTCTCTCCCTCTCTCCTTCCCTTCCCCTCTAAAGATAAATAAAATCTTAAAAAGGGGGGGGCACTCTGCCCATGGCCGCACCGCACTATACCGGGCACCAGGCTCAGCACCAGCTGTGTCTCCTTGTCTCCCAGTGACGGCCCATGGGCTTACTGCACCCAGTCTGCTGGGGGCACAGCCAGGACCCTCCAGTCCAGCCATCACACTGCACAGATACTGTCTGGTGATGAAAGGGCCTCGGCATATAAGGACAGTAAAAAGGAGAAAGGCCACCAGGCCCGTGTGGAGAATCTGCAGGAAACCTGGCGTCCTGGAGTCCCTTGTGAATGTCGTAGGAAGGGAACCAGAGTGTGCCCTCCCCAGGGCTGTCCAGGGCTGTGCGTGGGGGAAGTGGGAGCCGGATGTGCCAACCCAGTACTAGGCCTGTGAGTGACAGAGGGCCAGTCTCTGTCCCCAGTGATGGGCGTGGCCTCCTCTCGGGCCCTGCAGAGAGCCTCAGAGCAGAGCTAGGTTTCCATGCCAGAATCTGGCACCCCCAGTCCTTTGAACCAAAGACTGCTGACCTCAGTCACGGGTTCCACTGAGAAATGAGCTGCCATAGTTACCTGATGGCCTTGACCCGGCCTGGAGCGGGTGGCGGAAGCCTCTGTCTGCTGAGGAAGGGCCTGGACCAGCCCAGAATTGAAAAGGAGTTCTGGGGAGCCCTGACGTGGGGACGGGCTGCAGCTGTCCCTCTCACTGCCTTTCCCCACCTCCCAACACCCATTCTCTGAGAAGAGGCCTATGAGGCTGGTGTGGCTGGTGCTGGGAGACCAGGGGACAACAGATCCCGGGCTCTCTGCCCATACCCCACTCCTCCTGGTGGTGGGCAGGGGTTTCCTGGGGAGCCCCGCTCCCACCCAGGTGGGCTGTGAACAGAAAGGGGGGCACAGGTCCAAGGCTCAGGAACAGGCCCCGGCAGTCAGGAGCTGGGCCTGGAACACAGGTCCGCCCAGCACTGGAGACGTGCTCTCACCCAGAGAGACAGAAGCCCCATGTGCACAGGGGCCCTAGCTCCTCACGGGCGTGGGGGGGGGGGCACTGGTCCTAGGGACATGGAAGAGCAGCCCGGGATGTCCCTGGCAGGGAAGGTGCTAGTGCCAGGAACAGGTAGTTACTGAGAATCGTGTGAGTTCCAAAGCTTGGGAACTGTTTCTCACATTTACACTGTTTTACACAGATACACTCAGGGAACGCTCCAGGCTCCCCACAGAGTCAGCACTCTGGTCTGCACGCAGAGTGCTCAGAGGGAGTGAGGAAGGGCAGCAGCCCCGGTGCGCATGCGTGGGGAGAGAGCCTGACCGGCAGACAGGGTCCAATGGGAGGCTGGCACCCAGAGAGGGGAGGGGCTCGCCCAGCGTCACCCAGTGATGGGGGCTCATGGGGCTGGACCCCTGCTCCGTGGCTGTCCTCCTGTGGGCCTGCCGGTTGAGAGTGAGAAAGTGCTTTGGGGAACACCAGTGGCCAGTCAGGCCTCCCCGTCCCCCTCGTCCTCGCTGGTGCAACCCTCTGGCATCACTGGGTCCAGGGACGCCCGGGTCTCCAAGTACTCGGCCTTGAGCAGCTCCAGCTCCCGCAGCTCGGCCTCCAGCCGCTCTCGGTGCGCTGTCCGCAGCTGCCGCAGCTGTTTCATGCGAAAGGGGTTCATGTCGTTGAAGGCGATGTTCATCAGTTTCCTGGTGGGGACAGCACAGTCAGCCCCGGGCACAGTGCCCCACGGTGCCTGCACAAACCCTGCCTTCCCAGGCAGGCGGCCATGGCCGCTGGCCTCTGCCCCTGGGCAGCTCACCTTCCAGGGAGGAAGTGGTGAAGGAGACAATTTCCACCTAAAGTCATCCGTATTGAGGCAGGAGGAAGCTCAGGGCTATGGGAGCCCTAACCCACTAAGGAAAGGTTGGTCAGGGAAGGCTTCTGGGGAAGGGGACACATGAGTGGGTGTGGGTGGGGGCGGTGGTAGAGAGCAGGGGTGGGTTCTCACCGGCTGTTGCAAATGGTCTTGGTGAAGAAGCGCAGGTACTGGTAGATCTCCAGGCTGTCCTGCAGCCTCATGATCTCCTCCTCGTTGTACTTGAAAATGGCCAAGGCGTAGCGGAACAGCACCTGGGGACCAGGTGGGGGCTCAGGTGGGGCATGGGGGCCAGGGCAGGAAGTTCCCAGAGGGAGGAGAACCAGGCAGCGGGGGTCCTGGACAGGCTGCGGAGGCTGAAAGCTTGTGGGAGGCACATGTGCAGGGAGGCCTGGTGGGGGAAGGAGACTGGAAACCCCAGCAAGGAGCATGGCTTGGATACTGGGGGTTGGGGCTGAGTCCCATCTCTGCCGTGACCTTGTCCTGAGGCCCTTGGTGAGGCCCTGGCCCCAGTGGGGCCAAGTGGGGGTAGTACTGTCTTTACGAGGGGTGCCAGCAGGAGTCAGCAGAACGACAAAGCTGAGGGCTCTCCGTACGCCGTGCCATGTGATATGTTACCAGCCACCCCGTGGAAACGGCCAGACGGAGGGCGAGGGCCTGTCCAGGGTCTCCTAGCAAGGTCTGGGGCAGAGCTGGGACCAGACCCAAGTGCCAACCTCCCAATCCAGGGCTCTCTCCAAACAGGAGGAAGAGAAGGAGGAGCCCAGGTGATTGAGTGGCAGCAGACAGAACGGGGGTGTGCCTCCCGGGTCTCTGGGGAAAGGAGCCTCCCCCAACTTCAGGGAGTACCTCTGGAGGCTGCACCGCTTCCTCAGGCACCTGTAAAGCACTCAGTTTACAAGCCACGCTCCAGGCAGATGTGCTCAAAAGTCCTCATAGGTGCCACTGCCCTCCTGTTTTCCAGGGGCCAAACTGAGGCCCAAAGGCTAAGGGTCTTGCCCAGGACCCTCCTGCTTGCCCCTGACAGTGCCCTACCTTGGTGCCCTCATAGAGGAAGGCGTCCCAGACCTGCAGGAGGATACTGCTGATAAGACTGTCAGCAAAGACCACGAGGAACCAGTTCAAGGTGATGAAAGAGAGGTCCACGCGGTGCTGCCCCAGGTGGGCCATCAGCTTGGGCAGCTTCTCCGAGAGGAGGTCCTGGAGCACCCGCTGGTCCACCTGGAGGCCGGCGAGACAGCTTGTCAGCTGCTGCCCCAGGGAAGGGCTGCCACCCTCCCACCCTGCCCCTGCTACCCAGCCACACACTGTTCTGGAGCCTCAGCTTGGGTCCAGGAGCACAGAGCCAGCCTGGCTGGGAGAAGGTACAGCAACACGCCCTCCACTGCTCCCAGGCTGCAGTGCCAAGCTTTGGCCCAGAAGTTTCTGTGGGCCACTAAGGTCATGGCCAGTGGACCTTTGGCCCCTTTGCCCCTCTGAGCCTCAAGCTGACACTATGGCTGCCCCTCTACACCCCCTTTGGGTGCAATGCACAGGATGCTCTGTGTATGTTTGGGGGGCCCTGGGGGCAGGTGTCAGGAGGAACCACACTGTCCTGCTACCCTGAACATCAAGGAATCCTCCTAAAGGGGGATGCTGCTGGGTGACGGGTGCCCACGGCCTCTCCGTGTGGTCGCTGTCATGCCTGCCCCCTTGTTTTACTCAGCCCTGCGGGTTACTCCCAGCACCGGCTCCCTCCCTGACTGTAAGACACGGTTCTTCCGTGCTCTGCGCTCCACCTCCTAGACCGGCCGCCGAGTCTCCTGTTGCTCTGTTGCTCGTTTCCATAACCGCTGGTTTCCCAGCCCTGCCCTTCCACCCGAGTCATCTTCCAGGCGCTGGCTGCTGGCCTCGCTGCACCTCCCTTCCCTTCCTTCCTCCCCCAGAAGCCCAGGCCCACTGTGTAGGCCTTGTGTCCGGCTCAAAACCTGGGGTGATTCAGTCACTCTAAGGCGCCACTGAACCTTTCAGGTTTATGGTCAAACTGACGCAAGGTCTGAGGTTTACTTCGGGATCATCAAAGCAGGAGGAGGGGCGGCAGTTCCCATGGAACAGCAGCGGCCTCCCGTGTTGATAATCACTGGGACTCGGTCATGGAGACACGCAGGTTCGCCCACTGTGTTCTCGATTTTTTTTTTGACATTCAAAATTTTCTCAAAATGAAAGTTTCTAGAAACCGAAAACAAAGACAACCCACCACCACATATTGCTTACATAACACACAACTTCAGGGATATTAAAGTGTGAAGATAAAATGTGGAACACTTCCTGGCCTGCCTTGTGACCAGAGGCGCCACGCCATACGGTCGGGCCGGGGAGGTGCGAGCAGGAGGTGCGGGGTCGGGGGAAGCTGTTTGAAAGGAGCTGGCTCTTGCCTTTCACCCTCTGCTTCTTCCCTCCTGGGCTGTGGCCACAGTGCTGGAGGCGGTGCAGCCGTCCGGTCACCACAGGATGCTGAGTTGGAGGGCGAAAGCCCCCTGCCAGGACGGCAGAGCAGGGGCTAGAAGGAGCCTTCAGCTTGGTCTTTCCCTGGCAAGGATCCCCCTCTTACGCTGCTCTCAGGCTGGGCTCTCCTGCCAGGCAGCCGAACTCCTCCTTACCCGAGTCACTGCCTGTTTCCCCATGATGCCAGCTCTTGACCTCCAGCCCCGACTTTCCGCTCACACCTGCCGCTCACACCTGCGTGCCCACGCTCGCCCGGGCGTCTCACCCAGGCCGATGCCCCAGAAGGAGGATTGGTGTCACGTGACCGCAGCAGGAAAGCGGAAGGGGATGGGTGGGCAGGTAATGGCTTGGTAGGTTTAAGGCTGGGAAGTGACCAAGTGCCCTCGAGGTGGCCTGTCTTCCCAAAGCAGGCGGTGCCGGTGCAGCACGAAGAGGGCGGGGTGAGGTGGGAGAGGCGGGGGGCGTGGGCAGGAGGTTTGACATGGCTTTTTGTTTACACCTCTCAACAAACGCAGGCCACACAGCTGACTGCTGGAGGGCCCGGCCCCGACTCGGTCGCTGGACTCCAGGCCCGGCCTGTGCTCGGCTGGCAGCGGAGGAGGTGCTGCGCTTCTCAGCAGGCGATGAGCGCGTGTGAAGAACTGTCAGCACCTCCACCCTCCCAGTCCCATCTCCCACCCTGCCGGGCCTCTATTCTGAAATTCTTCACTGGCAAATAGCAGTGACATTAGATTTCCTTCCCCTCCCCTCCCCAGGAAACCAATAGTGTCTAATGACATAAGGTCACCCCTGGAATAACAACAATCTATCGTGTGGGCGGGTCTCCCCAAATTCTAAAGGTCAGCAGCGCACCGGAACTTCCTAGCCGTCCCAGCGAGAGGCTACTGGCTCATTCTGAGAGATTCCTGACTTTTCCCAGATTCACCGGCTTGCAGGAACAACTCAGGGGCTGACCCACGTAACCACTAAGTCCCCTCCTGGCCCCGCTTACCTGGGACGCTGTCAGCGTCTTGCTGTAGTAATCAGCTGGCATAATGGTCTCCACAATGGCCACCAGGCACCAGAAGGCACTCTCCTCTTCATCTAGGACCAGCAGAGCGATGGCCGCCAGCCTGTGTGGGAGGGAAGGACTGGAGTGACCCACAGAAGTCATAGCCAGACAGCTCGTGACAGACCTGGCTCCCTGGTGAGACAGACATGCTTTGGGGGAGGACTACATCGAGCAGTTCCAGAGAGATGAGGATCATCTCAGAACAGGACCTCAGAAGTCCCATCGCCTGGCTGTGAATCTGGGTCCGGCCACTTCCTTGCTGGGTGACCCCAGACGAGTTACTTAACTTCTCTAGGCTTTGGCATCCTCTTAATAATCACAGGACTCTTATGGGGTAAACACAGTACATACATGTTAAATGCCCAGCACAGTGCTTGATACGTGGTGAATGCTTTATAAATATTAATTATTCTCATCTTACTATCGCAGGCTTTGAGACCTCTGGGAGTGTGCTAACCTCTCTGAGCCCGCCACCTGTGAAGTGGGACTAGCATCGACCTCCGGGACTGTGAGGCACTGGAGTGAGAAGACGCCCCCTGTCTGGCACACACCAGCTGCTCAGTGCACCAAGTTCTTTTTCTCCCTTGCTTCCCCCCTAAAGTTATCATGGGCCTCTAATGAGATCAAGGGCGGGAAAGAAAAAACCCAAAGTGCTGGGCGGGAAGTCTGCCTGAAGGAAGCACTATTTTCTCTACTCCCATCTTTCCTGATGATGGGTCTTTCCCCGGGAACAATCCAAGAACATATTCTCCCAAATGTACTCATCCGCCATGAAGCTAGGTGAACACAAGGTCCCACAGACGGGTGTTTGGGGATGCAGTACACTCCAGCTCCCTTTCAGAGACCAGTGACGCACAGGGTCACAGCACAGCCTCTGAGAACCCCTGCAGGGAGAGGAGCATCACATGACCTTCCACCCGGGGCCGTCTGGTGGGCTAGGGGAGCCCCCTTTCTACACCGTACCCACGGAACACCCTCAGCGAGCTCCCACGCTGCAGCGCTGGCCAGGCTCACGCTCTCAATGGGTATGCTGAGCACATTTCATTGTCCAGATGTTTATGCTTCTCTGGGCTTTTACTGGATTGGATTCGTGACCTCCAACCTCTTCCAAGGTTCATGTTTTTTCGGAGAAACCAGGTCAATTCTCAAAAGAAAAAAAAATCCCTTTGATCTCCCCAACACACTGAGATGGATTTTCTCTCCATTTTCGCTACAATATTTGTACAAGCCCTCTTGAGTCTGAGCAGAGTGGATGGAGAGAACAGTCACAGGTCTCCTGGGAAACAGCAAGCTCCACCCTCTCAGAGCTGGGGAAGGGTGGTGGTGGTGGGGGTTCAGAGGTCATCGAGTTCAGGGATAGCAAATGCGTGCTACACTGGCCACCACACTCTGACGGTGCCCAGGGCAGACATCACTAATTGATCACGGCACTCTTTCCCACCGAGTCTAAGCTGCCTCAGAGCCTGTCATAAGGCTGCATCCTGCGGATCTAGATACAGTCACTGCAGGCACGGTAAGGCTGAGGCCCAGAAACCAAAACTGACTGACTTGCTCGAGGTCACTCAGTCAGTTGGTGGCACAGTGGAAATTGAACTCAGGACTTATGAAGTCCACCCTGCTGTTCTCCCCAGCTCACCCCATTCTGCTAGAGCCTCAGCATGCGCTCGGTCCAGGGGCTGGCTGAAGGCATTTAAGATCCAGTGGGTGTGCAAAGGAAGGACTGTGGCAGTGGGGGCGGGGGGACACACACACACACACACAACTTTTAAGGCATTCCATGTATTTTTAAAGGGAAATGGCTTTAAAATAAAAACGTTTGCTCTAACTTAGCTCTAAATCATTACCACATTATCACTCTCTAGACAGGCAGGATTTTGTTCCCTATAAGCAGGGTCTGTCCTCCAGACACCACACATACAGTTCCTGTGGCTACCACTAGATGGCGGCACTCAACAAGTGAAAGGGGCTTGCAGACTGGGGTTTAAGGGCCTTTGAAAGCAGCAGCAGCACCGTCTACTTTTGAACAGCTTCTATTAGAAACAACTTTCTATTTAAAACAGTAACATGAATATTTTACCAAATACCAATAACCAGTAAAAAAGAAAACACTGAAAAGAAGTAAAGAAATGCCCCGTGAGCGTCACCTCTCTCAGCCTCCGGTCCTCCCGTGTACCCCGCCTCTTCCCTTCTGGGGTGATCTTCAGACAGACCCTCTGGTGATGGGAACTGCCCCCACCTCCTCCGCACAGATGAACTGTGCTGGGGTTTCACTCAGGGTTCCCAGTCACTGCACATGTATATGCTCAATTTTACCCAAGTTAGACTGCAAACGAAGTACCCCAAATATCTACCCTTGGGAAGCATTCCAGTTAGAGTAGGGACAGCCCGTCTGATTATTCTGCGTGGAATCAATGTCGCACGCCACCTATTCTGGAAAACCAGTGGAACGACTCAGTACATCTCTCTGGAGCATATGTACGTTTCAGCTGAGTGAAAACTTGCTTCGGGGAACCTCTGAGATCCTGCTGCCTCTACTGAGACGCCTGCGGGCCTCCAGGGGCGGCCCCCACAGCCCTGCGCTGGAGGGGCGGCCCCCCAGGTCTGCCTGCCCCTGTCCCCGGCTGTTGGACTAGAAGGTGAAACTAATCCGGGCTGGGCCCATCAGATTCCTTCCTTGGGGAATTTAGATCTGGGACATGAGGCCGTGGACAAAAGGGAACACCTGCTGCAAAGGTCCGGCCACAGGGGCCGAGGTCCCCATTCTGATGGCCTCCACGGGCCCTAAATGTCCAAGGAGTGACGGACAGAGAGGCTGGTCTGCTGCGGGAGGAGGAGGCAGAGACATGCACAGGAGGCTGCAGACCAGGCAGCCCTGCCGAGGGTGGCACAGCAGTGCCACCTCAGAGCTGCACAACCTCTGGGGCCTCGACCCTCGGGAAATGGAGTGAAGGGGGCCGGGCGGCTGTGCCGTCACCTGGCTCCCCATGACCGTGTGGTCTCTAGTCTCTGCTGAGAGGGTTCGTTGAAAGCAAGTGGTCCCTGACCCAGGCAGTTGCCCGACTTGTGGGCCGGGCCATGCATTACACAACTTGGGGGACCACTCGCCAGGTTTTCTTTGGGGTGGCACCACCCTGAGCACAAATGGAAAGACAGGGCCTGGAATGAAGAGCGTGGAGTTCGGACCTGCCTCTGCCCCGAATGTGTCCTTTCACCTGCTTGTCCCCATCTGCACAGTGGGGGTCACGTCAGGCCTCCTGGACTCACCTCTCCAGGTTTTTGAGAGGCTCCAAAGAGACAGAGGGCTGCCCAGAAGGATAAAGGCCGTGTCCTCACCTACCTGTTCAGGCCCTGGCAGTAGCCAATGGAGGGGTTCTGCCAGGAGAAGGCCAACAGCACCCGGTGGAGCTTGTCTGGCAAGCTGGAGGTGGGGCAGGTGAAGTGCTTGTTGTTGGGGAAGGTTCGGTTCAGGTCCAGCTCGATCTGGCGGGCAGCGGGGTGCTTGCAGGTCTGGCCCTGGCTCAGCAGCTCCTGGTAGCGGCCAGGGACCTGCAGGTGCTGGAGGCGGCGGTGGACCAGCCACCTCCAGACACGAGGCCGGTGCTCTTGAGACACACCCATGCGTAACAGCTGCTTGAGCTCCACGGAGGGTGCGAGCTCACCCAGCGCAGCCCAGCGCTCTCGCAGGGGTCGCTCCATAGCCTCGTGGGCCAGCAGGTGGTGGGAGCGCACCTCCAGTGCCTGGATCTTGGCCAGCAGCTTCAGGTCTTCCACCTCGTAGTTGGGCACCGTCAGGAAGCCGTATTCATCATACTCACTGCTGGCAAAAGCCCGTGTTAGCAACCCCTGACAGAGCCCTTCCCCAGATAAGGGGCAGCGGGGAGGAGGTGCGCCCTGGGCACAGTTCCTGCCATGGCTTCACTGTGGGTAGCCATGCGGCTCTGGACAGGTCACTCAGTTCTCTGAACTTCAGTCTGCTCGTCTGTACAATGGGTAGAGAAACTCTGGCCCTGCCTCATGAAGACCCACTGAGGTCCTGTTATAAATGGCTGAGGGCCTACACAGTGCCTGGCACACAGTAAGTGCTCAAGAGACAGTCACTAACTCACTCTGTGCAAATGTGAAGGATCCTCTTATTCCTCTATGTGCCTTGGGCCCAAGGAGTCTTGCACTGTCAGTAGAGAACCCCACTTCCACAGCCAGTAAGCCCCAAATGGGTGGGGTGCAGACAGCACCAGGGACAAACAGACATGGGAGAGCTGGGGACCTGTTCCGGACAGCCTCTCTTCCACTCAACATTGACTTGCCTCTGCGTGTGCTGGTCACCGAATCCTAGTGATCCTGCAAAGCAGTGACCTCACGCACATCTTATGGAAGCTGCACGGGAGGCTCTGAGAGTTCATTCCTGTGACTTGTCCAGGGTCACACAGTGAGTGACCTACGTCAGGCTCCACAGCTTGAGCTCCTGCCACTGGGCCACCCAGACTCCAAGGGCCTTGGACTCCAGCCATAGCCCCTTCCATTGTTACTTAACTGTTCTTGTCCATTGTGCTCAGCAAGGGCCTGGCTCAGGGGAGGCTGCTGGCTGTCTCCTCTCCCCGCCTTTCTGACACCCCTCTGATAGGTGGCCTGGGGGGGGCGGGCAGACCCAGGTCGGTAGCCCTGATGTGCTGTGTGGCCTCAGGTAAGGGGCTGCCTCCTCTGAGCCTGCCCTGCCTCAGCTGCAAAATGGGGCCTGCCCCAGGCACATGCTCACCTATCTGAGAGCACGAGGAGGTAAGAAACATGTGGTGCTCACACACAGCAGGGCAGCTGGGGACCCCCAGGTCTTTCAGAGCCCACCCTGCCCTGGCTGCTGAGCTCACCTGATGGGGCTCAGCGCCACAGCCTCAGCAGAGGCCTCGCTGGCTTCCCACTGCAGAGCCTCCTGGATGAGCTGCCTGAGCAGCTCCGCGCACTCGCTGGCTTCGCTGCCCATGGCCTCCTGCAGCCTCCGCAGCCCTGCCAGGTACTTGCTCTCCACCTGGCAGTTCCTGGCTTGGAGGTAGGCACACTGCCGGGGGGGGGAGAGAAGGGCGCTGTCAGGCCTCTTGGTTGGGCTGGGGCTGCCCCAGAGGCCTGAGCCTCGGCAGCTTCAGCTAACCTCACCCAGGCAACACACCCTTCTCCCACCTCCATCTCCCATCCCCTCCCCACCCCAGCCCTGCATGTCGGGTCCAGTTCCAAGGGTTTACAACAAGGCAGAAAGGGCATCAGGTGAGCAAGAACCAGGCGCAGGGCTGGAGCTGGTCTCAGGAGAAGGAGGGAGGGGTGGGCAGAAACAGCACAGGCTCTTGTACGGCCTGTAGTCCTATCCTGGTTTGGCCACTGCTGGCTGGGTGATGAATGGCAAGGTCCTTGACTTCTCTGTGCCGTCTGGACAACGGGGACGACACAGAGTCTGCCTCTGAGTCTGGAGAGGCTGGCAGGGGCCGATGTGTGTGAAGCCCTTCCCAGAGTCCTCGGCCCAGAGCAAGCCCTCTGCAGGCGGTGTGACTGAGCAGGGCCCGGGGATGGACACTGGGGCTCTGGACGTGGCACCTTCCGCTGCCACCACGTGGGCTCTTTCTGATCCTCCAACACACCGCCTCCCTCCCACCTCATGGGACACACACTGCACAGCCTCCCTTTGCCTTGAACTCTGTGTTTCTATTTATACAAGCGGGGCCGAATCGGGTGACCTCCCTGGGCCCCATTTTTCTCCTCTGTAAGATGGGGATGGGAAAGGTGTGCCTTGCAGCATGGCCGTGGTCTCTGGGCCATGTCTCGTCCTGGCGGGCACAGTGGAAGCCTCCTGGGCAAGGCTGTCATTCTGTGGCACCCCTGTCTCTGGGTCACCATCTCCAAACGTGTGCTGAGCACGGACACTGACGCATCCTGCCAGCCTGTCCCACCTGTTTCAGTGGGCCCCCACCTTGGCTTCCCTCCACCTCCACGGCTTCCTGAGCCCCCTCCTCCCACCACCAGTACCCTTCTCAGGGGCTCTGCTACAGATTCCCGAGTCTCCCTGCCTTCAGGACCACCTGTCAAGTCCACTGAGCACCCACAGTTCTCCCAAAACAGAAGTCTGACCGAGACCCTCCCCACTCAAAACTACTTGACAGCTCCCAGCTTCTTCGGATGTGCTTCCAAGTCCGCGCCCTCCAGCCTCACGTCTCACCCCCCGCCCACCCTCCCTGCCTCAGCCCACAGGTCTTGACGGCCGCTCTTCTTGGAAGGCTTTTCTGCACTCTGTCTGGACAACAGTAACTCACTTTTCGGACTCAGCTCAGAAGACACTTCCACCAGGAAGCCTTCTCTGACTCTTCCTCCCATTAGACCCCAGAGCATCCTGTGTGCCCCACTGCACCTTGATTGTGTCCAGCTCTCTCACTAGTCTGCGCCCTTCTTGAAAAATCTAAAAAGGATTGGTCCTCGTTCTTGAAATGTTTGGCGGTAAAGCCTTTCTCTGTCAGGAGGTTTCTGATTACTGAGTCCCATCCCCTTGCTAGTCACAGGTCTATTCAGACATTCTCCTTCTCTGTGATTCAGTCTTGGGAGGCTTTGGGTTTCTAGGAATTTGTCCATTTCGTCTAAGGTATGCAATCTGTTGGTCTACAACTGTTTATAGTACTCTCTTATAATCCTTTTTATTTTTGCAGAATCAGCTATAATATCACCACTTTCATTTCTGATTTTAATTTGAGTCTTCTCTCTCTTTCTTAGTCTATCTAGCTGAAGGTTGCCAATTTTGTTGATCTTCGCAAAAAATGAACTTATTTCATTGATTTTCTTTATTGTTCTGTTTCATTTATCCTTGTTCTAATCTTTGTCTCCTTCAGCTACCTTGGATTTGGTTCTTTTTCTAGTTCCTTAAGTGGTAAAGTTAGGCTGTTAATTTGAGCTGTTTTTAATTTTTTTTACAAAGCACTTACAGCTACGAATTCCCTCCTTTGCAGGGCTTTCACTGAGCCTGCTAAGTCTCGGTCTATTATGTCTTCTCTTCATTCGTCAGGATGTCGTTTCCCTTGTGACTTCTTCTTTGACTCACAGTTTAAGAAGATGTTGTTTAATTTCCACAGATGCGAGAATTTTCTAGTTTTACTTCTGCTATTAATCTCTGACTTCAGCCCATTGTGGCTGGGAAACAGATTTTGTGTGACATCTGTCTTTTGAAGTCTGTTGAGACATAATTTGCGGCTCAACATATGGTCCATCCTGGAAAATGTCATGCACCCACATGAGGCGAATACGTGCGGTGCTGCTGGGCAGAGTGCTCTTCCCGTGTCTGTCGGACGCAGTTGGTTATCGTGCTGCTCAAGTCCTCTAGGTCCTTGCTTATCTTCTCTCGGGTTGTTCTACCCATAGTCTGTGGGATCCCAAAGTCTGCAATTACTGTTGTAGAGCTGTGACCCCCTCCCATTCTGCCAGTTGTCACGTCATAGATTTCGCTGGTCTGTTATTAGATGCATTAACTATTAGGTCTATTGTATCTTCACACTGTATTGGAGTTTTTATTAATGTATAATGTCTTGCTTTGTCTCTTGTAGCTGTTTTAAAATTTAGTCTCTTTTGTCTGGTGTTAGTATAACCACCCTGCTCTCTTTCGGTCACTGTTCGCATGGAGTATCTTTGCCATCCCTTCGCGTTCAATCGATTTGTGTCTTCGGATATGAAGTGAGTCCCCTGTAGGCAACATACAGTTGGACCGTGTGGTTTCATCCATTCTGCCAATCTGCCTTTTGACTGGAGAGTTTAATCCATTTACATTTAAAGTAATTATTGATCAGGAGGGACTTTTGTCATTTTGCTATTTGTCCTCTACATGCCATATAACTTTTTTTGCCCCCCATTTCCTGCATTACTATCATTTTTGTGTTAATTTTGGGTAGTGAAGTATTTAAATTCCTCTCTCATTTCCTTTTGTGTGTATTCTATAGCTATTTTCTTTGTGGTTGCCATGGGGATTACATTTAAAATCGTAAGTTATAACATTCTAGTTCAAATTTATACCAGCTTAACTTTAATAACATACAAAAACTCTGTACCTAGTTCTATCCCTACCCTTTTGGTTGCTGATTTCACAAAATTATATCTTTACACATTGTGTGCCCCGAAACACAAATAATTCTTTTAAATGCATTAGTCTCTGAAATTATGTAGAAAACAGAATGTGGAGTTAAAAACCAATAATGCTACTAGATTTTAGACTAATAATTGTTTTTGTTTTTAAATGTAGTCTTGCCTGGACTGGTGTGGCTCAGTGGCTTGGGCACCATCCTACAAAGTGAAAGGTCGGCGGTTCGATTCCCAGTCAGGGCACATGCCTGGGCTGCGGGCCCATCCGTGGTTGGTTGGGGGTGTGTGAGAGGCAACTGGTTGATGTTTCTCTCACACATCAATGTTTCTCTCTCTCTCTCTTTCTCCCTCACTTCCCCTCTAAAAAATAAATAAATAAAATCTTTAGAAAAATGCAGTCTCTTAAATTGTGTAGAAAAGAAAAAGTGGGGATGTAAACAATTATGATGCTGCTAGCTTTTATAATTACCTATGTGTATACCGCGGTGAGACCTTGGCTTCCTCACACACCTGTCAGTCACTACCTGGTGCGCTCTCACGGGACCCCACGGGCCTCCCCGAGAGTTTCCCGAGGCAACGCCACTGGGCCCACTAGGGTCTAAGCCCACTCGGGCCTGGCTTTGCCCTAAGCAGGTCTGGGGCTGACGGACTCCCTCAGTTCTTGTTTACCCGAAGATGTCTTGGTTGCTCTCTCACTTCTGAAGGAAGGTTTTGCCAAATACGGATGCTTGGTGGTGGCTTCTAGCACTTTGAATATTTCAAGCCACTGCCTTCTGGTTTCCGAGGTTTCTGATGAGAAATCTTCTCATAATTTTATGGAGGAGCCCTTGTATGTGATGAGTCACCTCTCTCTGCTTTCAAGATATCTGTCTTTGGCATTAGAAAATTTGATAATAATGTGTTTTAGTGTGGGTCTCTTTCAGTTTATATGAAGCTTGATGTTTACATTCATGTCTTTCATCAAATTTGAGACACTTCCAGTCACTATTTCTTCCAATATGCTCTCTGCCCCTTTGTCTCTCTCTCCTTCTGGGGTTCCCGCAATATAATGCGTATTGTTGGTCCACTTCCTGTGTATTTTTTCCCGTTTCCCAGAATCTGTCATTTCCATTCCCCGTCTTCACCTTCCCTGGTTCTTCCCATCTGCTCACGTCTCCCTTTGAATCTCTCCAGTGAAGTTTTCATTTCAGTTCTTGGACTTTTCAACTCCAGAATTTCTTTTGGTTTCTTTTTCGGTTTTCTCTATATTGACATTCCATTTTGTTCCTATATTACTTTCTTCATTCCACACATCTTCCTGTAGTTCTTTGAGATCTTTAAAGATAACCGTATTAAAGTGTCTAGTAAATCTGCCATGAGGCCTTTTCCGGGACAGTTTTTGTTGATTTTTTTCCCTTTGAATGGGCATACTTTCCTGTTGCTGTTTTATTTGTATAACTTGTGATATTTTGTTGAAAACCGGACATTTGAATCTAATAATATGGTAAATCTGCAAATCAGATTCTCCCCTTTTCATAGGGTTTGCTGTTTTCTTTTTAAATTGTTTTCCTTTCCTTCACTGTTGTAGGCTGCCTCTGTGCCGACATCAGCCTGACGTGTAAACGTAAGGTCTCCCCAGGTGCTTCTGGGCCTCCTTCTGAGCGTGCATGGTCCTTTCTGAGTTTTCTCATATATGCAGCTGTTTTTGAATGTTTAGTCTTTAATATTTGACTCCCAAAAGGAAAAAAGAGAAAAAATAAAAGTGGAAAACAGGATGGCAGCTCTTTGAAGTCCCTGGAAGTGACTTTCTCCAGGTGAGGCTTGAAATACTGTGCAGCAGCAGCAGCAGCGAGCGCCTGCCCTCCCTCTGTGCCTCTGGGATCAGAGGCAGCCACTGGAGCGCAGACACCTGACACCCGGAAGACAGCTCACGAAGGGCACAGTCCGGAGGGAGAGCGAGACAGGTGTGAGACGGCGGAGACTGCAAGGGTGGCCAGAAGAGCGGTCCCACCTCTCACCTTCATCAGGAGGGCCCTCTCCTTCTCAGCCACCTTTCTCCAGATCTTGGTGACCTGGTGGATCTCGGAATTGAGGAAGCGGTTCTGGGTCCGGTATGCTTCCATGTCATCCTGGAGAAGAGAGCAAAGCAGGTGAGGACCTGCACCATGAGCATCTCCCTGGTTCTCACCCTCAAATGAGCTGCCAATACTTCCTTTCTTTAGAAATTTCCAATAATGCAAACAACAGAGGAAGTCTGAAAGAAAAAAAACTACCAATAGCCCCCTTTCTCTCATCTTGATGCCAGAATCAAATGGGGGAAAGAGCGCTGAGCCTGGAGGTCCGGTCCTGACTCTGACTTCCCGGCCGGGAGCCCTCCCTGCACTGCCCCACCTCGCCGGTTCCCGGCTGTAAAGGGAATGACTGGCAGCTACCCCACTGGGCTGCCCGGGGACTAAGTGAGGTAGCATCTGTCATAACACTAAGGGCAGGGACCGAAATATAACAAATGCTCAAGCGATGTTTGTCTTTAAAATATTTTGTCATATATTTGTGATCATACTAAACAATTTCGGGTGGAAAATTTTCCTTAGTGTCCTTTGTAAATACTTTTCTATGTTGCTATAGAAACTTCCCAGTGATCATTTTTAAAGTCAGATATCTATTTTATTGGGTGAATTTATAACTTAGTTATAATCCTTCTCTTGTTGTTTTTTAACTTGAGCCCTGGGTGGTCGGTTTGCTTTTGACTGTGAGTAAGGCTGTGATGCCCCTCTCTGAGCCTAGAGTTTTCCTTTTGCAGGCTGCCCAGTGGAGGGAGTGAGGTACCCAGCGGCTGGGGTGTGCGAGGAAAGCTGGCCAAGCATTGGGGAGGTTCGAGCAGAGCCTGGGCCTGGGAAAGGGGCAGTCCCAGCAATGGCTCTCAGTCTTCATCCTGCTGGGAGGGACACACTCACAGCCGCACCAGCAAGTCCAGGGCATTTACCAGCTGAAAAGCAACCCCCTTCTCTCCCACACACAAAAATGGACTGGGCTGGAGGTGAGTGTGAGGCACTGGTGCAGAGATGACTTTGGATGGGCACTGACTTGTCTGGAAACTGAGAACAACACCATACCTAGCCTGCGGTGTTCATTACCAGGGAAGGGTCCCCTGTGCACAGTGTATAGGTAACCTTGACCCATCCTGGGAGGGTCTGCCTTCTGGCTAAGAACTGTCCCAGCCCAGGAGCTCCACTCTGTGTCCAGGGTCTGCTGCCTTCTTCCGAGATAGCTGACACAGTGGGAGCGCCACACGTTCCCAGGGCTCCTAGCCGGAAACAAACGCCAGTGGCTGACTTTATCACATGGCCTCTTGCCACTCTGTTGGGGCTCTCTGGGATGTCCCCAACCCCAGAAGCCCCCTGCTGTCATCTCCCTCATTGCACCCAGGCCACAAGGCTGTTCTCAGGCTGAACTTGCTCTCTGCTCTCTCTTGCCAGTTAGGACCCAGGCAGGTCCAACTCCCAAGCCCGGCCTTCCTTTTATCTTCCCACTGCATCTCTGCCCTAGATCAAAATCTAGACTCTTTTTCTTGGAAATGCTGCTGGGCTATCAGCTGCTCTTCAGGGCAAGTGTCTTCCCCTTTGGGACCCCTGCTCCCTTATTGGGGGGCAGTACAGAGTAGTAAGACTGGTGGAAAACCTCCTGTTTGCAGCACAAGGACCAGCCCCCTGCGAGCATTGGGATTTTCCAGGAACACCTCTCGCTCCCATGACAGCCTCACACTTCAGTGTCTGGAAATTTGGAGAACTCATGAGCACAGGGCTGTGCAGGCTCCCTGAGCCGTAACCCCCGCCTCTTATCTGCACGCTGAGCACACTACTGCACAGAATCCTCCCAGCAGCTCAGAGAGCAACACAGGTGAGGTCTCTGAGGCCCCGAGAGGAGGAGTAAGTTGCCCGAGATCCCAGAGCTGGTGCAAGGCAGGGTGTGACTGGACCCCAGTCTGTCTGACTCCAAAGCCAAGTGCTAACCACTGCATTTACTGCCCAGCCATTCTCTAATCTCCCTCCCCACTGGAATTCACCTAATGTCACAAGTCTAGTCCCACCCTGTCAGGCTGTCCTTGGTGTCTTGTGGCTGAATGCACACGGGCCGGTTTGACCTGTCGGAACTGGCGGTGTAAAAACCGCATTTCTGCACTGTCAGAGCCCAGCGCCACCTGGCTGTCAGGGCAGGAACTCCAGGGCCATGCTGCCTGGATATCTATCCTGCCTTTGCCACTGAGCCCTGTGACTCCCCCTCTCTATGCCTTATGTCCTCACCTAGAAAAGGGGGATAATAACCACCTCTGGGGCTGCTGGGGAGAATCGACTGGTCAACATGTGCAGAAGGCTAAGAAGGGTGGCCGGCGTGCAGCAAGTGCAGGGACGTGTGCCTCCCTTGTGGATCTCTGGTATCTCTGACTGCTGCTGCTGTGGGTGCTCCCCAAACGTCCGGGAAAACGGACGAGCCCCCAGGAAAGGGGGAACAGTGACCAGCTGCCTGAGTTCCTACTAAGTGCCAGGCCCATTTCCCCCACATTCGCTGTTGTACATGACTTTATCTCGACCACAGCCCTGTGGGTGAAATGTTAAGGTGCTATCATTCTTTACAGATGAGGAAACCGCACAGGGAAGGAGAGTTCTCCTCAGTCACACGGCGGGTATGGAGAGAGGCAGAACAAACCCATGTGTGTTCCAGCCACTGCAGGAACCGAACACCATGTCTGGGTGAAAGGCACGGGTGTCTGCTGCTGGAGCATGCTCTGCGCCACCACCTGGTCCTGCCTCCTGTCTCCTCCCCCCCAACCCCCGACCCAGGCTGTGGACGTGCTGCGCAGGGCAGGGAGGGCGGGCAGGACTCAGCACCCCTGGAGCAGCCGTGGGTGGGGGCGGGATGGGGTCTGGGCAGCACCTTCCTATTCAGCTTACCTCCCTACCCTGAGTGCTCTCCTTGGCTCAGAACTGTAGGGAGGAAAAAGAATTCCAGAGGACAGAAAAGCCACACGACAGTCACCACTGGGGCAAAGGAAGAAAATGCACCTGAAGAAAGGGGACAGACAGGAGGAAGGAGTCTGCCCACCCACCTGCCTGCACAGGGACCAGGAACTGGGAAAGTTCTTTGGGGAACATGGTGTGGACCAGCCCATGTGCTAGTGGGGAAGGCAGTGGAGTGGGTGTGGGGAACCCGGGGTCTGGCTGTGACCTGGGCCAGTGCCTTCACCTCACCAGGGCTCGGCTGTTCCTGCCAGAAAACGGGGGGTGGGGCGGCAGTGGATGGCAGGAGGGCAGACTAGGTCTTTGAGTCTTTCCAGCTCTGATGTTTAAGGTTCGTCTCTGACTGACCACTTCAGCGACAACAACACGCTTTCTTAGGGAGCTGCTCTTGACCACAGGGCAAGCAGGAAAGGGGAATACTCTGTCCCAAAACTCAGACGATGGACTCCGGATGGGCCTTCTGTGTTTTTCTAGATCAGATGCCTGAAGGCTAACGGCTAAAGAACTCCATACGTGCAACTCTTTCTAGCGCTAAATGCTGGGCCTCTGGGGGCCAGCTACAAATGCCAGTGTGGTTGATGTGAACCAGAGCCAGCGTCTCCTCGGAGCTGGGCTCCCTGACAAATTAAAACCCGCACATGCAGGTTCAGGGGCACAGTGGCTGGTCTCCTCGGTGAGCCTGGCTCACAGCGGGTTCCAGCGGGACGGGCACAGCGGCAGGAAAGCCGTCTGCTGGAAGCCGTGTTCCCTGCCGTGTGAAGGGCTGAGAGCTTTCTGACAACCTCGCTGCATCTGCGTTTGAGAGGACTGTGTTTTCATTTTGAATTTTTAAAAAACCTGACTTTAAGGAAGAAGACTCAGAGACTGGTTACATGGTTTTTCATTCTGAAAGAGGGGAAAGGCATCTGGGTGTCTCTTATCCTCCCTTGGCTTGCTAACAACCGTACTCCTGGTCTCTAAAGCTTCTGCATTTTTCTCTTTCTCCTTCCCCACAATAGTTCTTTGCTACAGCAACATGACGCCCTGGCTGGTGTGACTCAGTGGATTGAGTGCCGGCCTGCATGTGAATCAAAGGGTCACTGGTTCGATTCCCAGTCAGGACACATGCCTGGGTTGCAGGCCAGGTCCCCAGTAGGGGGTGCGTGACAGGCGACCACACACTGATGTCTCTCCCCCTCTTCCTCCCTCCCTTCCCCTCTCTAAAAATAAGTAAATAAAATCTTCATGGTTACACAAATGTATACACGTGCGGCTGTGAGTGGCAAAGTCTGGAGCAGGACAGGGCCTGGCTCTACGGCGCCTTTAGGGACAGCGGGACTGTCAGTGTCTATCACCAGCCTCAGGTCTCCAGATGTCCTGGCAGTTCCTGTCACCACCCTCCTGGTGCTGCAGCCCACGGCAGGCATGGCACCTAAAATACAGCTCCTGCCTCCTGTGCTACAAGTGGCCCCAGGTGGCAGCCTGGGTGAGAGGAGGCAGGGATGGCGGCAGTAGCCAGAAGCGGCAGAGAAGCTGGAAGGCAGCGAGGCAGACAGACTAGTCAGAGGTGTGTGCTTCGGCCCAATTCCAGCTCCCCCTCCTCGGCCCACAAGTCTGGGCAAGTATCTTCACTTTCTCAGCCTCAGCACCGCCCTCTGTAAGGTGGGGAGCACGCAAGTGACCGCCTCAGAGGGCTGGTGGGAGGGTCAAATGAAATGATGCAGGTAAGCACTTAGCACAGGAGCAGTGACCAGTGCTGTGATGACGAGCAGGTCACGGCCAGCGCCCTGTGCCGTGTGCGGGACTGTTGGGGGAGGGCCGCCTGGAACGAGGGGTCTCCCCAGGGCATCAGAGTGACCCCTAAAGAACCGGACCAGACCAGGTCCCAGGAGTACAGCTGATCTAGCCCTCAGGAGTTCTGACCCATCTTGGGCTCCTTCTGATTTGGTAAGCTAGAGACACCTTCGCTTTCTAGTCTAGGACACCAGGAAAGCTCGGATTGCACTGGGACTTCTGGTTCAGAAAAGTGAGGGAGTATGCAGCCATACTTCTACCAGTGTCTGTTGCAGAGAGGAACATTCCAGGACTAAGGGTTACCTCTGCGCGACCTAGAAAACACTCAGAGTGGACGGCAGTGCCCTCCCCAGAGGCCCTAGGCCTGGAGGGAGGGGCCCCTACCTTCAGGTGCTCCATCTTCTCCTGTTGGCTCAGGAGGTCACTGTCGGCAGCGTCTGAGGGCACGAGGGGCTTGTCAGGGGGCTGCATGGAGTCCTGGGTGAGCTGCTCAGACAGCCTGCAGATGACCTGCTGCTTGGCCTCGTTCTTGTCCATGAGCAGCTGCACGTGCTGCCGCAGCTCCTGCACCTCCTGCTCCCGCAGGCTCGCCGTCTGGGCCAGGCCGTCCCGCTCCTGCTCCAGGGCCTCCACCCGCTGGCCCAGCTCCACGATCTGCCGCACTTTGTGCCGCACCAGCTCCAGCCGGTCCTTGTCCTCCGCCGCTGCCAGGTACGCGCTGGTCACCCTCTTCTCCTGCTGGGCAGCCTCCAGCGCCTTGTGCAGGATCCTCACCAGCTCCTGTGCAGAGAAACGGAAGCGTCTCATGAACTCGGGGAGGCCTGTTAGGTGCCAGAGGCGGGGCCCATCCCTGAGCAGTTCTCCTAAAGGCCCTGAGAAGTGGCCAGCGTCACCCTCTGGGTCATCTCGTCTCAGCACCCATTTTCTCTTTTTCTGTTCGACAGTCTTAGCTTGACACCTGGTTCTCCTGCTCGAGACTACATTTTCTAGCCAAGCTCACAGCTGGCTGTGGCCGAGTGAGGACTGTCCCTACACGGCATACACGAAACAACAGGGGCGGCTTCTGCATCATATCTTTGGAACCACCACACACACACCGCCCTGGCCCGCTGGGCCCTCTGGCCGGGAGAAGGCCAGCACTGCGCAGTCACTCTGGGGGCACTGTGCACGCTGCATGTGGAGGACGGCGGCGCGGCCTCGCCAGCTCAGGGCTGCAGGACTCCTCTGTGAGAATGCGAGAAAGAAACTTCCAAATTGTCTTAGTCCACAGTACTTAGAGGTTGTATCCTGAGTAATACCCGTCTATTTCAGAGATGAACAAACCGAGGCCCAGCAGAACGGAGTGGAATTTAATCCCAAATCACCAGCACTCCAAAGCCTGTGTTCCCGCAGTCGTGAAAGCAGGGGTGCCGTGGTGCACACGCATTGCTCTCCCGTCTCTCACTCCTGTGGCCTTACTAATTAACCTCAATACTCCTTCCTTCTGAGGCCTCCTACAGGCCTCAGCACCTTTCTGAATTCAGCACCTAAGCAGTCACTACCAATGGAGCTGAGACAGCAAGAGAGGAAATGCACTGGCAATCCACACGCTAAGTAAGCCACAGGCAGAGCCTCAGCCAATCCGCTGCTGCCCTGTCTGCTCCCCACCAAGTGAGGCCAAAAGGCTGGTGCGAGTAAACGCCAGAGAGCCACAGACCGCGGCTCACACCCGGGTGGAGACTGTGACTCATTCATGCGGAAACTTGAGGTCTGCTTGGCTCCCGATGCCTCTGAGGCTCCAACCTCCCCAGGACCTGTCTTGCCCCGAAGCAGGTGTGGGGATCCATTCAGGGCCAGGATTAGATTACCAGAAGCCAGGCGGCCTACCCGCCAGCCCCACGAGAACCTCCTCGGACCTCGTGAACCTTGTAGAGAGGGTCTTTAGGCCCTTGCTGTGCTCCATGCCAGCCTCCTCTGGAAAAACATGGTTTCCTGGAAACACATTAACTGTGTCTATGTCAGAGCATTTAAATAAATGGATCAGCTAGGATGGGGTTATTTGCTAAGAACATTCTATTTGGAGAACAGCCCCAAATCATGACTTTATATGAAAAGTTATTGACAAGACCAAATGAGATGCGTCTTCTGAAATCTGGGTATTATTCCTTCTCTGCTTCTCTCTTCCACCCGGCCTCTCTCAAGCACCCACTCAGTGCCGAGCCCTGGGCCAGCTGCTGGGGCCCAGGGAGGGACTGGTCAGTTCCCACCTTCAACAAACACAAAGGCGAAGGTGGGTGGGAGTGAAGGTGAACACTGTAACGAGCAGTTTCCTTCGACAGAGGGAAGCCAGGGCATTTGCGGGGGCTCCAAGCAGAGAGCAATGTCTGCCTGGGGTGGAGGTGAGGAAGATCAGCACCTTCTGCAGGAAGGTGGATCAGTTTAAACTGAAGACCGGGAGGGCCAGAGCTGGCCAGGCAGCAGGTGAGAGGCAGGGCTGGGAGGGCTCACCAGACAACCATGGGACCCACAGGAAGGAAGCCCCGGACAACCAGACAACCAAAGCCGCAGAGGATGGAAGAGCGAGCGAGGAGCTGTGCAAGTCCTCGGGGTGTCGCAGGGAGTGGTGGAGGGTGGTTCCACACCACACCAGGAAGAAATCCCTTCCCAAGGGCCGTGCTGAGAAAGATTAACATTGATAAGAGACAAGTCCGACCGCTCTGGTTCGGCTGGGATTTGGAAACCACCTGGTTAGCTGCCTGGTGAGAAAACCGACAGCCACCAATGCTCAGACTTGCCTGAGGTGCAGAATCAGGTAGGAATTCCACCCACCCACCCCCACCTTGGGAGAGTCAACTCTGAAGCCTATGCCATTTTATATACAGCTGTCTTCCCCTTCCCACACCTGGCTCTCAAAACCCAGGGCCACACACCAGCCCTGAAGGCTCTCCTTCTCATCGGTGAGATAGGGAGAAAAGAAAAGGGTGGGCGAGAGGGATGGAGCCAGAGTAAGAACTATACAAGGTGGAGTGGGAATGAATCATGGATTCGGAAAACCTGGAGGCTGGAAGGCCCTGGGAGACCTGGCCCAGCCACTTGCTCTCACAGGGGAAGGCTGAAGCCCAAGAAAGGAGGAAGAAGAGGACGAAAGGGACCTGGTAGGGCCCCTGCAGGGGAAAACGTGCCATCAGAGTGCTCCCCACCCCTAATCCAGGACCCCTCACTTCTCCATGATGCACGGTTAATGGATTTTGCATTGAAATGTTTCTTTCAATTTCTTTAAAAACGGAAATAAGCCACATTCATAACCTCATTTCCGATACCCAAGAGATGAGAACAACCCAGTTGTCTGCTGAAGGTAAACAGGTAAAATGTGGTGTGCGCACACACACTCACAGGGGAATATTGCTCATCCTTGAAAAGAAAGGGAATCCTGCCCCACTTGACACATAGATGAGTCTCGAGGATGTTATGCTATGGGAAGTAAGCCAGTCACAAAAGTGCATATACACACCTTACAGAAGTATTAAAAACAAAAATAGGAACTTGTGATACCTTCCATTTTGAAGCTGCCTTTGCATTGTAAAAAATAATATAAAAGGAGCCACTTCCTGTGGGTGCACTCTGAAGTCTTGGCACTGTGGGTGGCGGCGGGGGTATACTCCCAACTCCCTGGCTCGGGTTCCAGGGAAAGAATAGGCTGCACTTCATCCCCACTGAGTTTTCAGTAATCCTGAGTGAACTACTCGGGGGGGCCCCAGAGGGCCCCAGGCCAGGCCCGGGAGGAGTCCCTCTTTCCCAGCAGCCAACAGATGGTGAACATCCCCATAAATGACAGCCTTCCATCTGCCAGAGCAGACGGCCCTCAGGGCGGTGCGGTTCTGTCAACTCTGGGAGCCTGAGTCCCCGGGCCAAGCAGCCGTCTGGTACTCTCTCCTGGGGTCCACATCTCTTGTGGGGCCAGCACCGCAGGGCCTGGGATAGAAAATGATTTAATGGGTATCAGAGTTGCCCTGTGGTTTGATGTGACACCAGGGAGGCACAGAGAGTTTGTGCTATTTTTTCTACAGAGCAGGTGTGTCTGGTCTGGGATTGTACCATGAGACCGTGAAGGAGGTGGCCTGTGGTGAGGGTCCTGAACCTGAAGGGCAGACCAGGGCCCCCCCGTGGCATCCAACAGCGCCCAAGACACAGATTCTTATAGATCATGAAAGCTACTGGCAGGGGCCACCTGGCTGGCGGAGCCGGAACGCCCATGTCCACCTGTAGGCTCTGGTAGAAACACGGTGCCTTCCCATGGAAGTGCCCCTCTGAAGAGGGGGGCGCAGGACGTCCAGGGGGCTGTTTCCCAGCTGGACTCGGAGGGTCAGATGGAGAGTCACTCTCTGAGCAGTGTATCTGAGTCCCAAGGACTCAGCACCCCAAGGTGGTACCAGCCTCCGCCGCCCCTCTGGCCCAAGAGCCGGTCTCCTTCTCTCCTCCCCCTCTTTGGTTTTGGTATTGGGGCTGCAGGTGAAATCCCTGAGCGGGTAGGGCTGGGGACTGCCTTCCTCACGTGGAAGGAAGACCTGCCTTCCGCGCATCACTGCTCTGCCCACAAGAACTCATTTCCTGGAGGCCTGTATGGGCTCACGTGTGTTTCCAGAACGCCCCAGGAGAGTTCTTCTCAGAGCCCCTCAAGGGGGTGCATCATTCCTTCTAAGGCAGGAAGGAATCAACAAAAAGGGCAAATAATCAGAGTCTGAATCTGCTGGGCAACTGCTGGGGGCCAGGCACCAGGCTGTGTGAATCTGGACAAGGTCGGTGCAGGAAACATGGTTATAGCTCCATTCACAGAGAGGACACTGAGGCTGAAGAGGTTAAGAAACTTGCTTGGGGCTAGAACTGGGGTCTGCACCATCTTGTTTAGAGGCCTGTGCTCTGAATTACCCACTAGACCAAAGCACAATTGTGAGATGGGCCAGAGCGCGTGCAACTCCACTCACATCTCGGGTCACAAGCTAAACCACAAGACCCTCTTGAGGACAGGACTGGGGCTGACTGGAAGGTGAGCCAGTGAGCAAGTCGAGTCTTTAATGATTTAACAGCTTCCTCTTCACATTCTCACTCTGACTCTTGGGAAGCTGCCCACAGCCCGGGCGGCCCTGGCTCATCTCCGCGACCTCGCCCTTCTTCAGTGAAGCACAGTGCGCCCTCCGGGGCTGCAGTGCAGTCAGGGGCCAGCCTACATGAAAGCTTGGTCTCCCGGGGCCCCGCTACTCCATGTGACAGTTTACAGTGCCTTAGAAGGAAAGGCCACGTCAAGAGAGGCTGCTCACATTTCCTAGAAGGGGGAGATATGGGGAAAGGAGAAGTGGTGCTTACACTCCAGGTTTCTTTTCCCGTCCAGGTTTGGGTACGGGATTTAAGCTGTACTGGTCCAGGGAGCAGGCAGCTGCTCTAGCTAAAGTGAGCCCGCTGCCCAGCGCTGTAAGCCACCTTTGCCCCCCACCACGTGGCCCTTGCTGCTTCATGAGGCCACCCTGGATGTGAACACCATTTACCTCTGGGTTGTAGGAGTTTTAATGCCTTTCATGTCTGTGTATGTGCGTGATCAGTTTTTCTACAATGCCCATGTAACTCTTTTTTTTAAACTGCTAAAATGAACTTCTCTATTAAGCCCAAATCTTTCCCCCCAATACTGTCCCCGTATTGGGCCTGACTCAGCCCCAGGGTGTGAGAACTGTATGCATTCTCTGTCCTGTGACAGGTCCTAAGGGATCTGCACCCAGTTACCAGCTGCCAGGCCGAAGATCCCCTCCCCACCCAGTTCCTTTGGCGGCCCTTCCCAGAACCCTGCATCCAGATCACCCTCCCCCAAATACTGTTCCTCTTCAGGTGTGGGGTCAGACCAGGCACAGTCCTTCAGGAGGGGTCTGAGAGGCAATTATTAAAGTAGGTCCCAGAGACCCTGTCCTCGGAGGCTTTCTGTCACTTGGTTTGAGTGACAGCATGGCCCTGAGTAATCAATGGCACAACATTTTCAACCATCCACAGTTTGGCTGGTAAGGTCCATGGACCGGCCTATACCCTGAGGGGTCTCCTGGAGCCTGGGGCCTCTCTGGGGCCAGAGCTCACCTTCTGAGACTTTAACTCCTTGGTAAGCATCAGAACCTGCTGTTCCAAGGCCAAGGCTTTCTCCTGGGCAGTGCGGTTTCTCGTGAGTCCTTCAGCGAGGAGCGGGAAGTTGCTGTTCTGGCGCTTGGCTTTTTGAATGAGATTGGCAGTCAGAGATGGCTTGGGTGTAGGCTTCGGAGAATCCCCTGGATCTTTCCCTGACCAAGGGGAGAAACACAGGTTATGACCAGGGGCCTTGGCAGTTCTCAAACTTGAGCTTGCTGCAGAGGGCTTGGGAAAATGCAGATTGTGGGACCCTGCTCCCTGAGTTCTTCCTGCAATGGGCTTGGGGCGAGGCTTGAGAATCTGTATTTCTAAAACAGCCCTATATGGGATGCTGATGCAGCCCGTATAGGGCTGGAGGAAATAAACATTATCTATACTGTGTTGGTGAGGTCGTTCAGCCCATCCTCTAAACCCTGCCTGTCCCCAGCTTCTGGACCCCAACCTGCACAGGCTGTGTTGGCCAGGTGGTCAGCCCCCTAGCCATAGGCCCTGATGTCTTATTTATTTTGTCAGGATGTCACCCCTACCCTCTGAGCCATTTTCAAAGTACACAGACATGTCTTGACAGGAACATGGACTATATCTGCACTCTGCACTGTCCCCCCAGAGAGTGGCTCAAATTCTTGTTTGATTTTTATTATCAGCTACATTAGGGGGGATTTCCCACAGCTGACTGCCTCAAGGCTGCAAAGTCCTTTAAGAATCTCCTCTGGAGCCAGCATCAGGCACCGATGGCCCAGAGCTGAATCCAGCGCACAGTCTGCTACCGTAAAGAAGGTGTCACAGGGACACAGCCACACCTGCCCGTTTGTGTGCTGTCTGTGCTGGTTCCACTCCACAAGGGCAGAACTAAGTTCGTCAGTGGAGACTACATGGCCCACAAGGTCTCACATAGTCACTATGTGGCTCTTTCTGAAACCCTCTGCCCACCAGTGCTAAACTTCATTCTTAAATCCAACATCAGAAAGTCATTCACTCAGGCCACCATGTCCTGCCTGTCCCCCGTCTTTGCTTTAGGGCTCTGCCATCAGTCTGCAACCAGGAACATTTAACAGCCTGACTGTATGGTCAAGGGACCTTGAGAATTGTGTTTACATGGCACATACACATCAGGCCGATGCAGCTTGTACACAGCTGTACCAAACAGAATTTCTCCTTGGGCCCCAGCGTCAGCAAAGGGCTTTCTCCTTCCAGGAAAGTATGCGTGTATCTTCCAGACACCGGAAACAATCCAACCACCTGCACCTTCCTCTTTGCTGTGGCTGCTAAGATGCTTAGAGCCCATCTGCCGCCTACCCTCAGCTACTCTGAGGGACCTTATCTAAATTTTCTAACCCTAATTACTCATTTACTTTCCCCAGATATGTATTTTAAGAAGTATCCCCAGACTAAGGTGTTAAAAATAAGGATGTGAAATGGGACCCCAGGGGAGGGGAAAGGTAGGGTTTGGAAAATAAGCCGAGTGACTCAGCATCTTTGTTCTGGGGACCAGGCTAAGGGACAAACAGTGTTGAAGAGATAAAGAACTGCCCTGACTGGTGTGGCTCACTTGGCTGGGCATCATTCTGCAAAGTGAAAGGTTGCTGTTTCAATCCCGGTCAGGGCACAGGGCTGGGCTGTGGGTTCAGTCCCTGGTCAGGGCTCCCGGTCAGGGCGTGTGCAAAAGGCAACCAACTGATGTTTCTCTGTCACATGGATGTTTCTCTCCTTTTCTTTCTACCTCCTTTCCCTTCTCTCTAAAAGTAAACTTAAAAAAACAAACAAAAAAAAGCTACTGCAGCAGGTGACAGGAACCAGAAACTTCCTGAACATGCTGGGTAGAAGAACACAATGGTCTTGTTCTGGACTTAAAAGAAATCCGTGGAGCGGAGAACAAAGCAGCCCGCAGAGCTCGGTGGAATGCAACGCCTTGTCTTTCAGCCAGGACTCTGGGAGAATCAGACTCCAGGCGGCTCAGCCCTGCTGACCTCTGATACACTCCTGTCCACCAGCCCCGAGGGCAGGCAGGGCAGGGATCACTGTGCTCCATTTACTGCTGGAGAAAATAAGACCTCGGACAGCGTTTCTCAGCCAGCGCCCCAGGATTTCGTGGGAGTGCTGACTCAGAGGGGCTGAGGGTAGTCGACCAAGGGGAGCCCAGACTCCCGCCCCTGACTCAACTCAGCTTTTATATGCTTTGTACATTAGATTTTGTGTGGCATCTAGGTTTCATGGAAATAAGGATGTAGTTCTAACAATCAGTAATTTAGAAAAAGAGGCTTCAGGCCACAATATGGGGTGCAGTGCTTGGCCTGAACCCCAGCTCTGTCACTGGGGGTGCGACTGTGAGCCAGTCACTCCACTTGCCTGTCCTCAGTTCCTTGGTTTACTAAATGAGAGCAGCCACAGTATCTACTGCTCAGGTGGTTATAGCAATTCAACAGGTTAATGCAGGTAAAGCACTCAGTACACGTGGTTGAAACTTTAAAAGGCTCTAGGTGAAATAAGCCAGTCAGAAAGGACCATCTATTGTATGATTCCATTTATATAAACTCTCTAGAACAGGCAAATCTGTAGGGACAGAGAAAGAAGTTTAGTGGTTGCCTAGAGGTGGAGATCGGGACTGATGGCTGAAGGATGTCTGGTTTTTGTGGGCTGGGTAGAGGGTTATTACAAATGTTCCAGAATCAATGATGGTGATGGTTGCATTGTAACTCTGTGCACATACTGAAAGCCACCGAGCTGTATACTTCAATGGGTGAATTGTATGGTGTGGGAATTATATCCTAATACAACTGGTACCACCCCGCAAAGCGCATAGAGTCGCCCTGGCACAAAGCAGCTGCTATATGGAAGTGCCAGTTTCACCGTTACTGTTGATTCGATACAGTACTGATCTTCTCCTGAACTGTGTTTGTGATCTGTGGGGTCTCCCAGGCACCGCTCCAAGGCAAGTTTTTCCTCGAGTCACTTCTGTGTGGCCCAGGGGTCCTCTCTGCTGTAAGAAGGCCCCCACTCGGCTGCCTCAGCCAGCTTTCTCCCAACCGCCTCTAAGTTAAAATACATTCTAAGGGCACCAATGCTACCTTCGAGAAAGCCACCCTCCCGGCAATGGTGCGGGCCAGTCACATTTTGTGAAGGAAACAGTAACATGCTATGTCATAGCTGGGGCAGGTCAGGCAGAGCTGACGAATTTCAATCATCCCAGAAAAGGCACTTTTATATCCTTGCCTTATAAATTAAAAAAAAAGAGTAAGACAGTGAGTGAGGTTTCCCTTTATTACTTCAAGAACCATGGCTAAGAGTTTCCGTTTGAGAAGATGAAAAGAGTTCTGGAGGTGGATGGTAGTGACGTTTGCAGAAGAATGGGACTGTATGCACACCTACAACTGGTTAAACTTCACATTATGTATATTTTACAACCACAACAACACAACAGCAACAATAATAAAAAATCACTGCTACTAGCCCCATAAACCCAGGAGCAATCACCCGGAGAGTTCCATGGCTGACATACAAAAGCACACTTGGTCTTTGAAGGCAGCTCAGACTGGGTCAGAGGCTCACCTGGGGCACTGGGGTCAGGGGGTGAGGGTGGCTCCTCCTTCTGGGGCTCCCTGCTCTGCGGCGAATCTTCCCCTGGAGGTCCATGGCCTGTTCCTTGGGCCTGTCTGTTGCCCCGGATGTTGCACATTGTGTTTCTGAAGGAAAGCAGAGGAGAGTGAGGCTGAGAGCCCCGCCATTCTGCGCCTGTCCTCCCCACTGTCACTGCGGGAGCTCAGGCCGCGTCCCTGCCCCCAGTCACGGCCTGGATCAGTCTGCTAGGCCCCAGGCGCCTTGCATGGCACACCCCACCTGAGCCGCTCCTGATCCTCCTCACCCTTCTCTTCCATTACTTCATCAGACTTAATCACCTCCCTCAACACTGCTCATAAGCGATATAAGCTCACGGCCCTGCCCAACACTGCTGCTGGAGTGTAAGCTCCGAGACAGCAGGATGTCTGCCTGTTTTGCTCACTGAAGTACTCTGGATGCCTAGAACAGTGCCTGAAATATAGAGGGCCCTTCTACATGTGTGTTGGATGGATTTTGAATGCACTTGCCAAACTGACTTTCCTAAAACCTCCATCTGGTCTTGTAACTCCCTGGCTCAGAGACCATCAGTGGCTCCCCACATATGCTGAGATGTTCCCGACATCTCCTAGGGTCCTCCTCCTCTGCGCCAGTGTCTCCACAGCCTCCACTGGCCACCCCACAGGCTCCAAGGAGCTCACTGCACTTCGTGAAGGGGCCACCCTGTGACCAAATAAGTCCTTGTCTGGGCTGAATAATGATGGCTTTTCTCCATGAACTGGGCGCTAACCTACCTGCATGCCTCCTGGCACCTGCACTGGGTTTGCAGGGGCCCAGAATAGAAGCTCAATAGTATATGTTTGGTTTGCAGGAAGGAACTAGGGAGCACCAAATGCTGGCCAAGGACCAGGGACCACAGAGAAATTCATAATGAGTCAGATGAGCGTTTACTTTCCCTTGTAAAGATATACAAGTAGACATATTCCAAAATTAGTAACAAGGAAAATGATTAAAGGAGCTCAGTAGGTGAGTGTCTTTCAAACTACAACAAACCATTGGCAGATTGTAAAACCAGGTCAGTATCATGACCAGCATTTAAAACAAATGGAACACAGGAGAATGCAGCCCAGTGAAAGAGGGTTGATATTTTGTGGCATGCATCTGTGTGTTCACTGTGCTCTTGGTAGACAGCAAGAAAGGGCCACACTGGGAAGCCATTCATTTAAGGGCAGCAGCAGCGTGCGTGCGGAGAGGAGGATGAGAGACTGCAGACCCATGACGGCACCTTGGCTTTGCCACGTCGCACTGATGCACAGTGTGTGCTTCCAGCAATACGGGGAACAAATTACTGCGAAAACCCTCATCCCCAAACACCTGGCTGCTACACAAATACAAAACATCTCTCACAAATACTCAGCTGAATTCCCAGGAAAGTAAGAGAAATCCTTAAGTACCAAACATGAAAAAGGGGGTAAAAATTCAAGTGGAAACCCAAGAGGAAGATGAATGTGTAGATTACCATTCAGCAAATAACACACACACCTTGGAGATAACTTGATTAAAAAAACACATTATTGCTAAAAAAATGCCAAGCCTGCTGAAAATTTGGTGTTGATAGGCTTCAATGCAGGGTTACCACAAAACTTTAATTTGTAAAGAAATGCACTATCTGTGAAGTGGAACAAAACACAGTACGCCAGTGTTTGCTCCTCCCCTCCACTGGAATAGAGTCCCTCCCCACACCCCTTGTGACTTTGCGTGTGGCCCCGTGACTCGCTTTGGCCAAAGGAATGTCAGCAGATGTGATGTAAACATAGGCTTGAGGAACATGCCTCAGGTAGCTGCTGGTCCGTAGAAGACGAGAAATACATGGCCTAGAACTAGATCTTACCAACTGCTTAGAGTCACGACCAAGGGAACCTGGCCTTTATCAGCTGAACCCAGATGGGTGCAAAATAAATGCCTATTATATGACATTGAATTCTGAAGTGTTTGTTTGCAGCATTATTGTCATGAGAGTCAACTGGGATATAGGGTATGTCTGTTCAGGAATCAACTGTTTTGTTTTTTTACATCGAGATATCAAAGACAAATAACATATTTGCTTCAGGTACACAACACTTTATATATGTGTATGTGATCACCACAATACATTTAGTTAACAACCATGACCACGCACAGTTATAATTTGTGTGTGTGTGTGTGTGTGTGTGTGTGTGAGATCAGGGATCACCTACTGATACTGAAAACCTAGGGCCTTGGTTGCAAAGGAGGAAAGAAAACAAGGTCAGGACCCACACGAAAGGTAGGACTGAAGCTGAAATTTTACACAAAGCTGGGACCCCTGAAAATCCATACCCTTTGTGAAGAGATGGGCTAGAAAAAACACGTCTGCTGGCAAAATTAACAAAGGGAAATTCTAGGCGAAGGCTCTGGGTATTCAGGGTGATCCTGGCCTTTGAGAATGAATTGGAAAGTGTTCCCTCCTTTTTGAAGGGAAAAGTTTGTGAAGAATTGGTATCAATTATTCATTAAATGTTTGGTAGAATTCACCAGGGAAGTTATCTGGTCCTAGGTGTTGTTTTCATTTTGTTTATTTTTGTGGGTAGTTTTTTTATTCCTAACTCAATTTCTTTACATGTTACAGGTCTACCCAGACTTCCCATTTCTTCTCGAGTCAGTGTTGGCAATTTGTGCCTTCCCCGGAATTTGAGTATTGCATCCGAGTCATCTAATGCATTGGCACGTAGCTGCTCACAGTGTCCCCTCACAACCCTTAGTATTTCTGTAGGGTTGGCAGTGTTGTCCTCTCTGGTGCTCTTGACTTCACTAATTGAGTCTTATACCTTTTCTTGGTCTATCTAGCTAAAGGCTTGTCAATTTTGTTGTTTTTTTTTTCCAAAGAATCATTATTTAATTTAAGACATCTTTAAAAGGAAGTCCAGCTTTTGGGTATAGGTGGGTCCAACATGAGAGAAGAATGCGGTTGCACGTTAACAAAGAGTACAGCTGGTAGACGGAGGGGAAAATGAATCAGTTAAATCAAGGCCAGAGAAAAAGTGAGAACTCAGCACTCCCAGCACTTGACTTTGAAATCTGGGCTCTGACTCCTTTTATTCTGTTATTGTTAATGTCCCATTTTAAGGAGCCCCTGCTTCTTTGGGCTAGTCACTTCCCCTTCCCAGTTCTTCTGTGCTCCATCTAAAAATACAGGGCGGGAGTTGTACTGCAAAGAACGATGACAGCTACCAAGGGCACTATTTACTGAGCATCCCTTTGTGTGGGGGCCTGTGTTGGGCCCATTACAATGTATCTCACAAACCACAAGTCACATGACTTGGAGAGGACACAGGGACAAATCCCTACAGCTGGAGGCTTGGTGGGATGACCACCATTGCTGCCCACACTTCCCCTTGCCCAGGACCTGCAGCTTCCCTGCCATGTCCAGGAGCTCACAAGCATCACCCCTGGGGTGTGGGAGGCACAGAAGCCCAACCCCAGGGCAGTAAAGGGCCTTTGAGGCTCTGCCCACATTTCCTCTGCAGATGGAGAGCTCGCCAACTAGACACACAGACTGGGTGGTTACTACTCAGCCAAACCACTGTGCTTGGAAGAGGCATCTCCATTTCCTAACTTTACTGGCTTGGGGTGGAGCAGCTCATAGATCATTTTCTCAGTAGGTTTAGCTCCAGGTCTGAAAGGCCTGGTCACATGAAGGTAGTGGTCATAAGGGCTTGTTCTGGAAAGAAAACCTCGGGCAAGCCATTTATCCTCTCTGAGCCTGGGTTCCTCCATCTGCAATGGGGATGAGGAACATAGTCATGACAAACAATGAGGCCCTTCATGGGCCAGGCTCTAAGCTGAACACTAGCAATACAACCCGTTTAGGCCTCACACACATGCATTCAGTGCATTTAATCCTCACAGCAGCCCAGTGGAGTAAGTACTATTACACCTCCAGGGTACACAGAGGAGAGCTGAGGTTCAGAAGGGATAAGTGACCAAAGCCACAGAGCTGGTAAGTGGTAGGACTGAGCGTCAGACCTGGACATCTGACTCCACAGGCTCAGAACCTAACTGTTGGAGGACTTCCACCAAGATGGAGGCGTAGGTGGAAACACTGTGCCTTCTCGCACAACCAAGTTTAAAGACAACAAAGTTTTAGTAATAAAAAACGCAGCCAAAACACAGAAAATTGAACTATATGGAGGTCTGACAACAACAAACCCTTCAGCCAAACCAGTAAGAGGAGCAGAGCCAGCAGCAGAGCGGGGTCGGGCAGCCATGGGCGGATCCCAGGTGTGGAGAAGCAGGTGGACCCACTGAGGGCTGACCACGGTCACACATTTGTGCGCAGATAAACCAGCAAAGGAGCAAGCAGTGACACAGACCGTCCAGGCCCCAGTGGTGGGAAGCAGCAGAGGGGATCGCCATTGCCCCTCTCTGACCCCGCCCCCACATACAGTGTCACAAACCAGCAATCTGGGCGGCACCGCCCTGGTGAACACCTAGGGCTCCGCTCCTCCTATGTAATGGGTATGAACAGATCAAAACATGGCTCAAGAACTCAAAGCCCTAGAGCCAATAAATCTAAGCCAACAAGAAACTGCCTACCTATCAGATGCACAGTTCAAAACACTGGTGATCAGGATGCTCACAGAACTGGTTGATTTTAGTCACAAATTAGAGGAACATATGAAGGCTAAACTAATTGAAATGAATGGAAATACACAGGAAACCGATAGTAATGGAAAGGAAACTGGGACTCAAATAAAAGGAGTGGACCAGAAGGAGGAAAAAAATGACCAAACAGAAAAGGATGAAGAAACAAGAATTCAAAAAAATGAGGAGAGGCTTAGGAACCTTCAGGACATCTTTAAACGTTCCAGCATCCGAATTATAGGGGTACCAGAAGGGGAAGAGGAACAGCCACCAGTGGAAAACTTATTTGAACAAATAATAAAGGAGAATTTCCCCAATCTGGCAAAGGAAATAGACTTCCAGGAAATCCAGGAAGCTCAGAGAGTCCCAAAGAAGTTGGACCCAAGAAGGAACACACCAAGGCACATCATCATTACATTAGCCAAGATTAAAATGGAGAGAATCCTAGAAGCAAGAGATAAGGGGACAGTCACCTACAAAGGGGTTCCCATCAGACTGTCAGTGGATTTCTCAAAAGAGACCTTACAGGCAAGAAGGGGCTGGAAAGAAGTATTCCAACTCACGAAATCCAAAGACCTACATCCAAGATTGATCTATCCAGCAATGCTTTCATTTAGAATGGAAGGGCCCATAAAGTGCTTCTCAGATAAGGTCAAGTTCAAGGAGTTCATCATCCCCAGGCCCTTATTATATGAAATGTTAAAGGGGCTTATCTAAGAAAAAGAAGATAAAAGAGATGAACAGTGAAAGGACAGCAAACTCACAGTTAGTAACAACCACACCTAAAACAAAAGCAAACTAAGAGGACAGCTAGATCAGGAGCAGAACCATAGAAATGAAGATCACAAGGAGGGTTAGCAACAGGGGAGTGGGAGAAGGAGAAGGGGGTAGAAGGTACAGAAAATAAGTAGCATAGATGGTAGGTAGAAAATAGAGGGAGGGCAAGAATAGTATGGGAAATACAGAATCTAAAGAACTTGTGACACATGGACATGAACTAAAGGGGGGGAATGTGGGTGGGAGGGGTGTGCAGGGTGGAGGGGAATGAAGGGGGGAAATAGAACAACTGTAATGGCATAATCAATTTTAAAAAAAGAAAAAAAAAGAACCTGTTATGATACCACCTTCCAGGTTGCCCAGACAGCTCAGTGAGACTAAAGCACTCTGAAAGCTCCCTTACTCCCGTCCCCAGACTATGACCTGGGCTCATGGAAGATCCAGCTGGAAGCTCTAAGACCAGCCAGGGCAAGGGAGTGCCAGAGACCAGGGCAACTCTGATCTTATCTGGGTCTCCCCAGGTCACTGGCAATGCTGCCCTGCATTTTCTGCGGGTTATGGCAAGTATCAGGAGGGAGGCAACTGACTGACCCCTGCAACTTCCTTCCTTCTTGGTCTCCGCACGCTGTCTGTTCCACTTCCGGTGTCTGTGGTCTGCATCAGGCAAGGAACCTGGCTCACCCTTGGTGCCACCACCCTGGATACAGCTGCAGTGCGTGCTAGCAGATGGCTGGACTTCTCAGGTCCCCTCAAACCTCCCATCAGGCTCCCACTGCCCCCAGTTCCCTCCAGCACCTCCCGAGGGAAGATCCCCAGCAGGGCACCATCCATGCCCACTCACACTGGGGGGCTCAACCATGCCCCATACTCCCCTCGTCTCTTGTTCTAGCTCAGGTCTCTGTCCTCTGAGTTCCAATTCCCTGCATCCAGTGCCCGTTGGGTAGTTCTACCTCCAGGCCCTAAAGAACACTCGTCACCTTCTCTCTGAAACCCGCTTCTGTCCGAGGAAGGGCATCACTACTTGCCTAGTTACCCAAGCAAATTCCAACACTGAATGAAGCTGGCAGCGGGAAATGCTGTGCCAGAGCCACACAGAGCCAAGAGTTTCTAGTCCGGGTCCAGTGGCAATCTCTTCTGCTTTCTAAGAGATCTGGTTAGTCTGAAGTCCTCACAGAAAATATGCACCTGGACAAGATCACTACTGGGTACGGTCTGAATTCTGCAAAGCTGCCATGTAACAGATAATGCAGGGTGGGGCAAAAGTAGGCTTACAATTGTGAGTATGTAAAATGCAGAGTTTTTTCCTGTATTATTTATCATTGGATTATTTTTCATATGAACTGTACACCTACTTTTGCCCCACTGCATGTTTATTAAGTACCTACCCACTACCAAACACAGTTCTCAAGCAGTTTGAGTGCACTGGCCATGTAACACTGTGCTAATCTTACCAGGCAAGCACTGCTGAACTTTACATTTACTAACAATTAAGTGCAGCACAGAGAAGTCCAACAACGTGCCGAGGAAACCACGGCCAATGACTGGTGGAGCCAAGATACAAACCCAGGCAGTTCAACTCCGACGCCCAGGCCATATCGCTATCTTCTCTTAAACTATTTAAAACTAAACCTGCCAATGGGAAGTTGCACATGTAATACATTATATTAAATGAAACAGTAGCTGAGATAAGGTGGACATACAATAAATGACAGGTTAAAAGGGAATAACATGATGCATTTGACACATGGAGGCATTTATGAAGCTATCACATTACATTCAGTAGCATCTCAATCGTGCATGTTATGTGTACAGAAAATGAGGAGGAAAGAGATCCACCGAAGGCTAAGAACACTTGTCTGGGTGACAGGATTATGGGTGATGTTAAATGTATGCCTTTTGAGATGCTTCTGATTTCCTACCAAGAACACACACTACTTTTAAGGTCAGAACACTGAATGTAATATTTTAACGTAATGACGTGGTGAATTGAAAATAAAGCCCCTCGCCCCGCCCTGGGCCCATCTTCCTAGTGGGAGTCACCCCCGGTCGCAGCAAGCTCTGAAGAACGGCCTGCTTGTTGTTGGCCGCCCCTCGGCCCCACTAGCACTTACTGTATTTCCGTCCCCAGGTGCTTGAGGGAGATATTCTGAAGGGCCAGGGGCATGGCGGGGGCTGGCTGCAAGGCGGCATCTGCACCCACAAGTCCAGGGGGGGTTTTCACAGGGCACAGGAACTCCTGCAGCTCTGCCTCCCCTTGCTCTGTGGAACGAAGAAAGAAAAGGGAAATCTGCACCAGGAAAGGCCAGGCAGGTGGGTGCTACGGGCTGAGTTCCGGACGGAGTCAGTGAGAACGGGCCTTCCCTGTGGGTTAACAGCAGCCAACGAGGCAGGTGGCAGTAAAACGATGCATATTGCTGCAGCAGCTTTCCCAGAAATCCCTAAAAGTATGCAAACCTGCAAATATATGTGCATTGAGAATCCACCCTGAAGAAGTCGTGTGAAATGCAGACGAAGCTTTATGAGCCAGGAGGTTCATCCTGGCACTGTTTAGCCTTGAACTGAAAATAACACAAAGATCTGGGGAATAGTTAAATAAATCATGAAGCTTTCAGACCATGGAATTTACTTAATGACTTAAAATGATGCTGAGGAAGCCCTGGCTGGTGCAGCTCAATGGATTGAGTACTGACCTGTGAACCACAGGGTCACTGGTTTGATTCCCAGTCAGGGCACAAGCCTGGGCTGCGGGCCATGTCCCCAGTGGGGGTTACATAAGAGGCTACCACACACTAATGTTTTTCTCCCTCTCTTTCTCTCTCCCTTCCCCTCTGTCTAAAAAATAAATAAATAAAATCCTAAAAAACAAAACAAAACGATGCTAAGGAAGAATGCTGAAGAAATGGGGAATGTGCATGGGACACACATTCCCCTTGCTTTTTCCCCTTGGAAAAGCCAGATAAAAGACTGGGGGTATATTATAATCTCCATTGTACAGGAGAAGTCTCAAAGAAATACTGTGCAATCTTAGCAGTGGTCAGAATGCATGATGGAATTAGAAGTGAGAGGCTGCTCACTGTAGTTAACATGGTTTACTTTTATGAACATAAAAATAATACATTCATCAAAAACAGATGTATATAGAGAGATTTTTTATAACACAGGGATATTTCACAGGCCATAATACTGAGGACAAAAAGGAAAGTGAAGCATGCATTGTTACCTGACTGGAAATACATTGAAAGGTAGGTGGGAGGTCATAACACAATGTTAGCCGGGCTGTCTCAGGTGACAGGCTTATGGCTATTTTTCTATGTTTTTCAAATGATCTGCTTAAACAGTGACTATTTTATATAGTGAGTACTTCAAAGGGTTTAATATTAAGGCAGGTGTCAAGAAGGAAACATTTGAGGTATAAGACAGAAGAGGTGAAATATTCAGAAGTTAGTTTTCAGTATTACAAAAACTGCAAGAGAACCAAGGCCACTTTGGGGACGGGAGGAGCTGGATCAGGCAGCCCCTGAGGTCTGCAGGGCAGTAGACACCCTCCATCTGAGCCCTCTCACTGAGAGGGTGAATAGGGCAGAGGAAATGTATTTTTGCACTACATCCGCAAAAACATGAAATGCAATGGCAGGGGTCAGGGAGAGTTGTTCAATCTTCTCAGAAATAAACTTTGCAAAATCATTTGCTAATCCTTAAGAGGCTCTTTTCAAATCCAGCAGACTTGGCCATACGAGTCTTTCGAGTTCCTCCCTTTCATTACTTTCTCCGCAGTCTGGGCGTCTACCCTGAGGTGTCCAGGTGGGTGGGGCTGGAGAAGTGAGACAATCAAAGGCACAGGAAGCGCCCAGCTGCAGGAGCAGGGAAGAAGTGCACACTTCAGTTAGACCGATGGGGTAGAAGCTGGAGGGCAGGCCAAACAAAGTGTGGGGAGTTCTGGGAGCTGGAGACAGATGCCTTCCAATTCAAGCCAGGGGAAGAGTTCCTGGAGGAAGGGCACTGGAGCTGGACCTGCAGGAGTGAGGGAGGATCCTGCTGTGTGAGTGGCAAGGGGTTCCAGAGCCAGAGTGGAGGATGCCAGGAGGGACCCAGAGGAGAAGGTGCTGATGAGGACGAATGGGATAGGGGTGGCTAAGAAGGGATCTCTGGAATGGCAGAGGCCCCTGGGCGCTTCAGCAGGAACCTGGCTGACTAGAATGGGTTTCAGCTGTGGAGGCCAAAGACCTGCTGAGGCCAAGCCCTATTTCTGCTGGGAGGGTGTGGTGACCTGGCTGCGCGCTTTTTCTCTTTCGGCTGCAGGTTCCACACTTTTAAAACTGGAAGGCCGCTCTACACTCTGTCTCCTTCAGCGTTAAAGTATACGAAAATGTTTTCAAAACCACAAGCCCCATACTGTGGACCTACATCTGTCCAAGCAGTCTTTGATCCAGACCCTGAACTGATTCAAAATAATTAAGGTTTCCTTGTTTATCAATACCTCAACCATCTCTATTCTTCCACAGTCAGAACAAACAAACAAAGTTACCGTCTACGATTTTAATGTCTTGGCAAGTACTTCCCTAACTGTCAATGTCTGTTTTCCTTTAACTTCCACCTGTGGCTTTAGATCTATTTTGAGGTCAGAGGGAAGTAAGTTTTGGGGGTAAATGTCATCATTGGTTGGTTTCATCAGTGAAACTCATCAGCTCAGAGCAGGTGAGTTTTGCGGCCAAGGCTGCACAGCTGCAAGCCAAGCCATAGGTTTGACCCAGTTCTTCACTTTTCCTTTTTGATAAGCAGACAGTTCCAAGAATAGAGGGGGGTGCCCTGGAAGGTGCAAGCCCCCCAGGGCAAAGAGATGTCCAAAGGAGAAGAGGCGCAGGATGGTGACGCCACAGTGAGGGTTAGCACTTCCTAGAAGACATAGATTAACCCAAGACTGGACCGTCTGGTCATTTCCTAGCCCAGAGAAATACCGTCAGTGAGGTGAGCACACACAGAATTTTCAGCAGCATTTACTCGTCATTCTCCTTCTCCCTGGCCTAAAGAGGCTGCCCCATCATCAGGAGGAAGAAATCTTCGCCTAACAAACAGGGCTCAGGCCAGCAGGTCACAGGTTTCCTGGAGGGCCCTGGACACATGGCCAGATGCCTCCTCAGCCTGAGGACGGGGCTGTGAGTCTGCAGGCGAGGGTCCAAATTTCGGCACCACTGTCTTCTTTCTGTTTGACCGTGAACAGGTCCCTTGGCCTCTTCAGTCTCCTCTTTTGTAAGATGAGAATAACAGCAATTCTCTCAAAAGATCGCTGTGATGATGAGGTAGGTGAGGCATGTAAAGTCCCAGAACAGTGTCAGGAAGAGGTGTGCCTCTTTTCATGATGATGCACATTTGTAAAAGTGCTCTGCCAAACGTGTTCTATCGTGGCAACGTGTCATTATCAACCTGTTGGCTTCCCCTTGATCTTCCTTGGCTCTGTGGAGACCAATGTCTAGGTAAAAAATCAAGTGGAGGTGTGAACTCTTAAAAGCTGTAGAGACATGCCTTGTGGACACTCAAGTGCGGTCACGAGACACTATGTGCAAGACGAAGCGCCTGTGACTCAGAGTCAGACATGAGTCAGTAGGTTTTCGCTGCCCTGGCGGCAGGCCCCTGCTTCCTCCCAGGAAGGGCAGAGACCGAGAGGTGGGCTGGCCTGCCCCAGACTGCAGCGCAGGGCCTGCCGGCTTGCTCAAGACTCCAGAAAGGTCTTTCTGGGTCAGCTGCAGACCGTTTCACAGGGGCCCTGGGTCCAGGAGAGGGAGGGCTTGCTGCAGGACAAAAGGCTTCAAAGAAAAAGCCCACATGCCTGCTTCCTGCATCTCCCCAGTGTCCTCCTTGGGAGACTGGGTGCTGGGCAGCAGAAGCACTCCCCTGCCCCCATGCCCACAGCTGGGGCTGGCCCAAAAGAGGCCCGCTGAGTGTGCTGGACCAAAGCCACAGGATTCAGGAGTTTGGGAAGGGCTGAGCACACTAGGTGAACCTGTGGGATCCCAAAGCTAGTCTTTTGATAACCTGGTCCTGCCCATTTCAAGGCTGGGAGGGTTTCTCATCGCTGTGGCCCGGGACTGATGGGGAGCTGTGTCAACTGGGCTGCAGTTTTTAGCGCAGACAGCGTTGTTTGGCGCTCTCAGAGGTGGGCAGTGGGAGGCTGGAGTAAAAGCGTAGAAGCAAAAATAACTAAGCCCTTCCCCAAAGAAAGCCCTTCTAAGCATAAAACACCCAGAAAGGGCTCAGAAGAAATTACTGATGACGACTATTAACAATAAAAAGACGAAGTTATTGTAGCAGTAAGAGTGTCCACAGATACGTAGAGTAATATTATGTGGACAGGTGCCACGTATTGAGCACTATGTGCCTGGCATTATGCTAAAGGCTTTATATTCCTTTCCTCACTTAATTATAAAATTCCATGTATTTGCTCATACACTCACTCCACAAATATCCAATGTGCCAGGCAGGGCAGCAGGTAGTGGGAACACAGGTGACAGACACGGCCCCCACCTTGAGGGCTAGTGGGCAGAGACTGACAAGGACACCCTAATTAGAATACAGCGTGACAGGCCCGAGAGTTGTGTGCAAGTGTAGAGGGCTCATATAAAGTCCAGCTAGCGAAGTCCCAAAAGGCTTCCAAGAGGAGTTGGCAGGAGGAAGAGGTGACACCGAAGCTGGGCCATCGAGAAGCAGCAAGGATTTGCCAGGCAGAGGAGAGAGCAGCCACCTCTGGCGCTGCCGCTGCCGAAGCGTCAAGCACGAGGCAGGCACTGGGGAGCGGGCAGAGGGAAGAGCAGGAAGGACTGAGCACGGTGCCGAAAAGCTGGGACTGGGCCCGGAACACCGTGAGCAGCCAGGGAAGGGGATGGGTGGGGTTCAGGCTTTCATTTTAGAAAGCTCACTCTGGCTGCAGCAAGAAGGATGGTCAGAGGTGGCAGGCTGGGACACAGGGACACCAGAGAGGAGGCTGCTGTGATTTTCTAGCCAAGAGCTGACACCTGACACACTACACTGGCAGTGGAGGGGGGCCTGGGTCTGATGCGTAGGCCAGAGTGGTACATGGCCAGCTCTGGTGTTGGACTTGCCTGGCTACTTGAGATCTGGGAAGAAACGGGGTGACTCTTGGTTACTGAAGCAGCTGGGTAAGTGGGAAGATTTCCCAAGGGAAGGAAAGCTAGGGAGAAGGGTCAAGGCAGATGAGGTCAGTTCGGGATGTGTAAAACACCTGGGTATGGAGGTCTAGGATGCACTTGGCCACAGTCCTGCCCTCATCCATTTGGCTTCCCTTTTAACTGAGGACGAGGCACCATAGACACGGTACAGGTTTGTGCCGAGCCCTCATTCACCATGCTTCTACAGGGACAGCTGTGGGTGGTCTGTCCTGATTCTAAAATCTGCCAATCATATTCCAAGCTCTGGCACAGGAGTGGGAGGGTGTGATCTCCAGTTTTCCTCCCTGCTGGCAGGTTCTAGGATTTGGGATCAAGCAGCTTCATCTGTGGGGCATGTGGGGTGAAGGATTCTGGCTTATGGGAACACCAGGGATAAAAATCACTGGTCTACCCAGCTCCCAGCACAAAAGCATTTGTGTAAAGAAGCAGCAACAATAACTGCACTTTCTCATGAACCTTCCTCATAGCAATTCTGTGAAAGTTTCGTTTTTTAACACATCCCCATAATGGTCATCACCATGGCAGCTGACACTGAGCTCTGGCAATGTGTGGCATCGTACCAATCCCTTACAGTGCATGGATTCACTTAATCCTCACGACAACCCTAAGAAGTAGGTATGATTTCTTACTGACCTCATTTTACTGGGAAGGAAACTGAAGCTCAGAAAGGTTAAGCAACTTGCCTAAGACCACATAAGATTAGGATGTGGACCCAGGCAGCCTGGCCTTGGAACCAGTATTCTAGCCCTTGATGCTACTGTTGTCCTAGCTGATCTCCTCGCTGATCCCCAGTCACATCCCTGGCTCTCTACTCCTTTAGTAGAGGGCTCCTCCCCCTCACTCCCAATAGCAGGAGCCCTGGGTGTGCACAGGAGGCGAGCCCATTGGGTACCTAGCTCAAGGCGCAGGGCAGGCTCGTTCCCAGCCAGGGCAGCTTCGGGGGCGGCGGGAGGTGCAGGCAGGCTGTTGTGGAACTCCCAGCGCTTCATCTGCAGCTGCTGCAGCCAGTATAGCATCACTTGCTTGGTGGCAGCCTGAGAAGCACAAGGGTTAGTTGGCAAGGCCCTGAGCCTGCAGGGTGACACTGGGCATGGGATGTGGGAAGGTCAAGAGAGGCTTGGTAACTCTCCTCTCTAGAAAAAAAATTTCACTGTGGCTGGGTGCCCACTTCAAAACACCACATGCTTCCTGGCCATACAGAATAACCAGACTCTGGTCTCCCACTTAGAGGTTCCTCACCTTTCTGGGCCTCAGTTTCTTCACCTGTACGATAGTGATGATAACACTCATTTCACAGGGCAGTTGGCTATGAGGAAGAAATGAGGTAAGGAAGATAAAGTGCCCAGCACAGTATCTGACATACATTCGGTGCTCGAAATGTGCTCACTGGGTAAAGGAATTTGGAGGTGCTAAGAGAGAGGGTAAGAGCTTTGAAATTCTGACCTGGGGGGGGGGCCCTGGGAACCATCACTATCTCTAGCTCTCTGTGTGACGTGTCAAAGGCTCAGCTGACTTTTGTGGAATGGAGACTCCCTTCCGTTTTGCGGGTGCGCTGAAACCACGCATATGATCAGGGCCTGGGAAGCTATGCGCACACTGCAGCAAAGTGGCACCCCCCAGGCACCCCAACCAGCTAATGGCCAATGCCGGACATTAGTCTCCTAGCACTGGATGGTCCAAATACATATTCTCACATCCATTAGGTCACCAGGTCCTCCATGAAGGAGCCAAGGCAGGAGCAATAATCAGTCCCTTCTCCAGATGGAGAAACTAAAGCTCTAAAGTGGCTCAGGCAGGTGGCGTCAGAACCTGGGTCTCCCACTTTTTGACTAGGGCTTGGTTGTAGTTTATGGCCAGGAGATGCGGCCTATGTAGAGAAGGCCTGGGGTCAGTGGGCACAGAGGCTGCGCAACTCGCTGGGAGTGGACAGTGAGCCTCAAAGAGCTGTTCAGTCAAGGCCACATGAGAATAGAAGCAGGCTATGGGCAACCAGGGCAAGTTCCCCCTTTCAAGGGGCTTGCAGGTGTGCAGAAGGCCAGGGGGCTCCAGGAAAGAGGCTGTAAGCCCGTCATGAAGGTATCAAATAAAATGAAATGATGCCCACCAGTCTTCTCTTTCTATATACATTTTCTATATATTTCTCTTTCTATACACATGGCTTCACCATGTCCCTGTGCTGACAGCTCCAGCCCATACCCGAACCCACTTCATTAATTCACCAGACAAGTATGTACTGAGCCCCTATGTACTATATGTGTCAGGGGCTGTGGCGGGCACTGGAGAGTCTGTGGTGAGCCAACACACAGGGCCTCTATTGTCTTGGATCTTAAGAGGCTGCTGAGGGCCACGTGTACCTGGATGTCCTTGCCTCCCCATTCTGGGTTCACTCCATCAGTGACTGGCCCGACCTGGCCGTCCGCTGGTTGCAGGAGCCATGCTGACTCCTCTCTCACATTCTTCCTGCCACATGTCCCTGGCCACTGTCTCCCTCTCCACTGTCCCTGCTCTAGCTCAACCATCATTCTCTCAGGTTCTCCTCCTGCTGGGCTATCCGACCACAAGCCTTCCCTTCTAATTTGTTCTTTACCCAATAGCCAGACTGAGCATTCTAAACATTCTAATTTCACAGTGCTTCTTTGCTTAAAGCTTTCTGACAATGTCCCACAGCCCACAGGACAACTTACAAATGCCCCTCCCACTGCCCGGGCCTCTGTTCTCCCATTCTATCTTTTGGATCCCTCTGTGCCCCAGGCTCCTGGGGTTTGCCTGGACACTTTGGGCAGCAGCATGTTTTCCTATCTTGGCTCACAGGGCCCTCTTGACCTGAAATAACATTCCCCCTCTTGTCTGCTTATAGAAAACCTATGTCCTCTTTCAAGATTCAGGTGTTACCCCCTCTTCTGTGATGCCTTTTCTGGATGCTCCCCCCTGCTTCAACACTCCATAGCACTGACCCCTACTGTCATCACGCTTTTCTGGTATAGAGTCCGGTGTCTCTATAGAACATTCTATGGTACATGCCAATCTCCCTGTCAGTCTTTCTCACCAGACCTGAAGCTGTTTGTGCACCAGGGGTGGGTGTGATTTGGTTCCACACCCCAGTGCTTAGCACAGAGCCAGGCACACACACAGATGAATGGAATAGTAAGACACATGTCAGAGACCCGGTAGACAGCATTCAACCTGCAGGAGGAGACACGTTACCTGTAAACCACATGACTTCTGAAACGCTGGCCAACCTTGGCCTGGAATGCCCGGTTTCCACTATTTTAGCTGATCCCCTCATTCTGGTCACCAGCCAGGCCTAGCCAGTGCAGGGAAACTGAAGCTGCATTCAAGGGCCTCAACCAATTTCCAATTGGCTGGAGATAATAAGGGTTGTTGCAGGGTGGCCGGGGAGGAGATGGAGTAGGGTGGGGAAGGCTGTGCCCTGACACATTCTTCTCTGATGAGTGTGAATCCTAGAACTTGCAGCTCAGATCTGTCTTTCCAGTTAAGTTCTGAGGCACCACCTCTTGGAAGGAACATTCGGATCTTGGTTCCACCACCACGTGTGTTCATTCAACAAACATGGACTGGTGCTGGGAGATATTCAGCAGTTTGTAGGCATCTTTAATGTTCCAGGCCCTTACATATCTCATTGTAAATTTTACAAACTACCTACCTTCTGAGAGATCAAGTAACTTGCCTAGGGTCACATAGCTAGTAAGTAGCTGATGTGGAAGTTGAACGCAATCCTGTGTGATTTGAAAGCACATGGCCTTTCCACCGATTAAACAAAACCCACTGGAGAGAAAACAGGTTTAGATAGGCCTTGATGAACAATCTAGACTAATCAGTGAAACCTAAATGTTTACCTCCCAACTCTTTCCAACATTTTCTCAGCATTCACTCCTCTCTGCCAATATATCGAGAAGAGTGACTCCGGATCCAGGTCTTGAGAGAGGACTGTTAAGATAATATCGTGACTCTAGTTCAGCCCCAAGTAAGAAAGTTAAGGTGACTGCATTGTCAGACACACCCAAGAGTAAAAGTTTTGACCTGTCTGGGAGGTAGAAAGACTAAGATTCCAAGTATGGGCTATGACGCACCCCACTCTCCGAACGCCTGACCTCGGGCCAGTCACCTCATCTCTCTGTCTCGGTTTTTTGATCCCCACTATGGGGATCCAACACTCCTGCCTTTTTGTGGGAACCCACTGGGAAGTGGGTGTGAAAGCGCTTCGGAAAGCACAAAAGCCTGGGTACCCAGTGTACATTGGGCGATCAGGGTCGGTGATCATTATTCCAGTAAATTTGCTGTGATAACCTACCAGCAAACCCCGTGCCCTGGGCCCCTCATCCCTGCTGAAAAAGGAAAAACCAATCCATTTACCTTCAGGGTAATAACCCGGGTGGGAGTCTTGATTTCGAAAGTCCCCTCCTCGGCGTCTGCCTTGCAGTCAAAGACCGCACTGGAGAGATCGATGCTGTCCAAGGGATTGGCATCCTGTGCAGTCCGCGAGTAATACAGGTGACATTTCCTCTCGTCGTAAAAGAACCAGCGAGATTTCCAGCCCCGGAGGGGGCCCTTACCGCCAAACTTACTTAAGTATCCGCAGAGTTTCTTGGGAGCCGTCTCCAGCGGTAGGGCACAGTTCTCTGACTCCTCGGGAGGCAAAACCTCCGGGCCCCCGGCAGAGGCGGTAGACTCTCCGGACCTGGGCGCAGAGGAGCTAGACTCCGGGGATTTCTCCTGGGCGCCCTCCATCGCCGCCCTGACCGCGGAGGATCTGGAGATCCGACTGGGAACAAATCTCAGAGACTCAAATGGAAACCTGGTGGGGAAAGATCTCCGCGCCGGGGCGGGGCCAGTGGTGACCGCCTTTAGGAGTGGAGTGGCGAGCGACTGAGGGGAGCCTCACTCGACCCAACACCTACTGGGACGACTGGCCACACCCATTCCGACGTCTCGGCAGCTAAGCCACGCCCAAGACAACCCATTGCCTTGTCCTCCTATCCCCGCCTACTTCCGGCTTTTCTTCCGTGTCAGTCAGCCATCTTTACTGAGGGGCAGCTGGAAGCCGTTAGGAGGTCCCTGGGTTGGAGGCGTAGTATCACTGAACAGAGTTAACCGGCGAGAGAGAAAGGGGAAGACACGTCTGTGATTGACTATACTGCCCTGGTGTAGAAAGAGTTCTTTCTCACGCTGTGTGGGCTCCCGCCTTTTCTCCCCAGGTGCGGTGTAGGTCTGCGTCGGAGGGCGCATCGCGTGGCCATTGGCTGAGAGGTGCCGGGCTCGCAGGAGCCACTTCCGGTACCGCTCAGGACCCGGGGGCTGGGGGATTCCGCCTATTTGCCACTCTCCCGCCCCTGTAAGTGTGGCGCACCCCTCTTTGTCCCAGTTCGCATTGACTAGCTTTCCACGCTGGTTGCATGATACAGGGCGCCCAGGCCCCGCTGCTGCTCTGCAGAAACTCACTGCTACTCCTGGGCGGGGTTGGACTCAGTAAATTTTGTACAAACTAGTAAGTTAAGTGTACCTAGGTCGTAACTCGCTCAACTTGCTGCCTTACTCTCCTTTTGCCCTTAACTTCCCTTCCCTCCAGTCTTAGGCGCATTCTTCCATTTGGGCTGTGGAGCCCATTTCTGGACACCCCCTAGCCCTTTCTTAGCCCTTTCTCTCCCTTTATCTTACAAATTTGTTCGTTACAGCATTACTTATTACTTCAAAAATTTGGAAGCAATATAAATGTCGAGAAGTCTAAAATTGGCTAAGAACCATGTTTTTCAGACCATACGACGCACCTAAATTTTAGATAAAAATAATTTTTGAAGCAAAAAATGTAAAATGTTTAATAACATAAATGACACAATATTTCACCAATGTAAATGTAAACACAGCTCAACAGCAACAGCAACAATCATTATTCCTACCAAATTTGCCGGGGTGGGGTGCAGAAATGTGTCTTATAGTCTGAAAAATATGGTAACTGACTAGGTACATTTCGCAGAAGGATATGAAATGATACTGAAATTATTAGGCGAAAAATGCAGGCCAGTCCTGGCCATGTGGCTCAGGGCACATGCCTAGGTTTTAGGTTCCATCCCCCATCAGGGCCCTTAAGGGAGGTGACTCATAAATGTTTCAGTCTCCCTCCCCTCTCTCTCTCCATCACTTCCTTTCTCCCTCCCCTCCATATGGAACATTTATGGAGGGGAGGGGAGGGAGACAGAACTATTTCTCCCCATCACTTCCTTTTCTTCCTCCTATCTCTAACAATATAGAGAAATCAATATAACATCCTTGGGTGAAGGGAGAAAAAAAAAAGGAAGGAAAGAGAAAAGAAAGGGCAGGCCATGAAGCTTGCTATTTTGCTAAAAAGAGTGTGTGTATGAAAGTAAGGTTGGAAAGATGATGTGTAGTATTGGTAGCATTTTCTCTGGGTGATGGGTGTAAGGATAATTTTTATTCTTTTGCTTGTCTATATTTTGTAAGTTAAAACTTTATATAGTTAAAATCATTTAAAAAATATTCTGTTTCTGTTTTTTGAATTGCTCCAAAGTTGAATAGAATTCCTTACTTCAACAATGGTCCCTGGCTGGTGTGGCTCAGTGGATTGAGCACCGGCCTTCGAATCAAGTAGTCACCTGTTCCATTCCTAGTCAGGGCACATGCCTCGGTTGCAGGCTGGGTCCCCAGTAGGGGGTGTGTGAAAGGCAACCACACATAGATGTTTCTCTCCGTATCTCCCTCCTTTCCCTTCTCTAAAAATAAATAAATCTTAAAAAAAAGAAGGGGAATTATAAACCCTTTTTTCTAAGCTCTACTCCCACAGAAAGCAAGAAAGTCACAAAGAAAAAGATTAAACAGCTTTTTTAGAAAGAAATACATAGCATCCAGTTCTCTGGCATTGTAGTTAAGGACGATAACTAAAACACTAGCATCTTCATGGTAATGTGGGTTTCTCAATTTTTCCACCCTGTTACAGGTTGCATTGTTTCTCCCCTAACTTCCTATGTTGAAGCCCTAATCCCCAGCAACTCAGAATATGACTGTATTTGGAGACAAGACCTATAAAAAGGTAATTCAGTTAGAATAAGGTCATTAGGGTGGGTCCTATTCCAACCTGGCTGGCCTCCTGGTGAAAAGAGGGGATTAAGACACAGGGAAGACTGTGTGATGACTCAGGGAGAGGAGGGCCATTTCCTGACCAAGGAGAGGCCTCAGAAGAATCCAGCCCTGTTACGCCTTAATCTTGGATTTTGAACTGAGTAAATACATTCCCGTTGTTTAAGCCACCCAATGTGTACTTCATTATGGCAGCCATAGCAAACTAATACCCAAAGCACTAATACCACTAACAATAGAGTGAACTTCCTTGGAAACCCATCAGGGATACACAGCCCAAAGTGGCTTAGAGCACCCATGAAAATGCCCAGAAGCCTTATTTTATAAACAAATAAATTCAAAATCATATTAAACAGTTGCACATAAGATATTTTACATTAATATGTAAATATCAGAATAGTCAAACTCCCAACCAACTCCATTCTGAGGGATGTGGGGGGTGGGCAGGGGGTAGAGTCTCCAGTTGGGGTGGTGATTTTCAGCAGACTTGGCCACTGGAATTTCCATCGGCTGGTGACAACCTTTGGTTTGCTCATCTGTAATATAGGGATTATAATTCCTACCCAGAACACCCCAATGAATGTGAAGACCAAAAAGGTGATGGAAAATTTCAAATTGGCATCCCTAATCAGCAGCAATACCGAGGTGTTCAGGGTTGCTTCCTTGGAAAAGAAAGTGAAGAGGAGGAGAAAAAAGTGTTAAGTAAGTTTAGGGACATTTACAGGGAAAGTCTTGCTGATCTAGATGCATTAATTATTGTAGATACCCTTACAAGGAAGTGAGTTAACACAAGGAAGTGAGTTAACATCGTTCCCCACCCTCCCCTCCATCCAGGAGGGTATTGTTGGCTGCAAAGCCAGAGGCTGTCTGAAAGTGACACCTTGTGGCCTTTGCCATATACTGCCCTTGGGTGTATTAGGTGTTCCCAAGTTTTTTCTTTTGTTACAGGGCTTCAAAGAGGCACTATGGAATATACCCCTCTTCCCTCATGTCCAAAACAGGCCGGTTAATAATCTGAAATCCTTAAAAACAGCCTATTTTATGTACTTAGCTCATTTACTTAATGAGGATAAGAGAAACAGACTTTCCATCAAATCGTGGGTTTCTTTGGATTCAATAAGGGGTTTATTACATGCGCTAATGAACATGACACTTTGAGTTATTTGGAGCTGTCTTCCATGTCAAATTCTTTTCCATCTTTCACTATGGAATAATTTAGTTCTCTTATTAAGGGAAGAATACAGTCTTACTGAAAAATCATTTAAAAAATTTAGGCTTTCTGGTCAACAAAACCTTGTCATATACTTTATAACATTTCTATTTTTGAGTAATATCATTTATAATTGACAATAAGCTCAAAGAATTCATGTTTATTTGACACATGATTTTCAAATTCATGTTTAAAGGAAATAGGTTCATTTAAATCCGTAAATCATTTGCAAATAGGGTTCCCATTGGCAGTTTTCCTATAAAATATTGAATTGGGCAAACAGAAAAACCATGTTTAGTTTTGCAATATCTGATAATCTTCAAGGTCAAAATTGGCTCCCCAGCTAGGTGGCAGGATCATTATAACAAATGTCTACTCCATCAGTCAAACTGTGGGTGACTGAACGTAATGGAAATTCAGTTCCACACACCAAGCGTGTTTACAGCATTTAGTTATAGAATCTTGAAATAAATGACCCAACAGTGCAGACATTGAACACTGTTCTATTTTATATTCCATTTCACATTCTGAATGCAAGCCAGAATCTGCAAAAGGAACTTTTGTTTCAGGAAAGGTTGGTTTTAATATTGTTTTTTAATTTTAAAGACTCAGATACCACGGGAAATATTTTTAGTTTGATTTTCACAAATTCATAAGCCAGAGATATAGAAAACTATATAGAAAGACTTCCGTGTTTTATCTTCTTGGTGTGCTTGGTAAGAAAGGTAGCAACATCACTTAATGGGTGAGGAGAGAAAATTCTAATGGGAAATTAAATATCCAGTCTTGGTGGTACCGTCATCACTTCTCTGGTGTCTCTGGAGTTAGACTGTCTGCATTTGAATTCTGGCTCTGTAATTACTAGGTGTGTGACCTCGGATGAGCTATTCAGCCTCTCAGTACCTGAGTTTCTTCATCTGTATAACTGAGGATAATCACAGTACCTACCCAGTAGTGTTATTACATGACTTGGGAGAAAAACCACACGAGTGCTTACACAGTATCTGGTCCATAGAAAGCATTTAGTAAGTATTTGCTGCTAGAACTAATGAGTTCTAGCAATTATAGGTTCTTTCAGCTGTTAGGGATCTCCCAGTATTTATTTGATCCAGGTTATTGTCCAAACTTTTTTTATTTTTATTCAGGAGTCTATAACTAAACACTGTAAAACATGTCCCTGGTGTGTGGGGATAGGTATCAAGGCAGATGGTATGAGGATTCTTCCCTTTTGGGGCAGTGAAGTGGGTTATCGCAGCAAGAAACTAGGAGAGGGAAGGAGTTAAGTTTGAGGGTTTCTGACACCACCTCAATCCTAGAATTTTCCCTCCCTGTCCCTTCCTTCCTTTCATACCTTTTCTTCTTTTCTTTTTGGCCCATTGTCTCATTAATTTATTAATGTAATCTCTCGTCTCACAGAAACCAGGTTTTTGGCCAGGACAGGTAGCTCAGTTGGTTAGAGCGTCACTTGGACACACAAAGATTGTGGGTTCGATCTCCTGTCAGGGCACATATTAGGAGCAACCTATGAATGCATAAATAAGTGGAATAACAAATTGACTTTTTCCCCCCTCTCCCCCTTTCTCTCTTTCTCTCTCTAAAACCAATATGTAAAGATTAAAAAAAAAGAAACCAGGTTTTATTAATTTTTCTTGAGACTAGAGCAGGTGAGGTTTGACATTTACTTCTGTTTCCTGTAGGAAATACTTTCCCGAAGTGCGTTCAGTCTCAGCTTGTTGTGCACTGTTTGTCTTTATGCTGCAGAATCCTCAAATTCTCTAGTGGACTTTTCCCATTGCTTTTCTTAGAGAGAGAGTGGAAGGGAGAGAGAGAAACATCAGTGTGAGAGAGAAGCATCAACTGGTTGCCTTTGGTATGTGCCCAGACCAGGATTGCACACACCTGGACCCGGAATCGAATCGGAAATCTTCTGGTTGTGGGCCGGAGCTCTAATGGACCTTTTTTTACTACTAGCTGTATTTATATATGTATATGTAAAATATAAATATATGTGTATGAATACGGTATATGTATATACAGGTACACATATAATCACACATAATAAGGGTACAGCTCAAGTAATTTGTATGAATTGAACACAAGCCTATAACAAGTGCTAGATTAAGCCCCAGAACATTACCAGCACCCAGAAGCCCTCCTCATACCATCTTCCCCACCAAGGGTAACCACTATTCTGATATCTAATAGATTAGTTTTGCTTGTTTTTGAACTTTTTATTAATGGAATCTTACATCCTCTTTTATGTCTGGCTTCTTTCACTATACATGCTTTTTTAATTCATTCATATTGTCACATGTAGTTATAGTTTTTTTCCATTCTCACTGCTGTGATAATTCTACCCTGTGAAGTTACTACATCATGTATTTTTCTGTTCTACTGTTGAGAACATGTGGGCATTTTCCAGTTTTTGCCAGCCTGGTCATTTCTAAGCAGTGACTAGCATATCTAGGGCTGGCATTTCCCCCCAGAAGGGTGAGCATCTTTTATCTTGCTTCCCCTTCCCTGGGATGCTGGCAGGATCCTTCTGCCAGATCTTGGAGGCCTGAATGTTCCATATCCGGTGGTCAGGGTGGAGGATGGGGGCCATGGGCAATGGGCAACGTGGGCAGAGTTCTGTTTCTGCTTCTTTCATGTCGTGGGCTTGCTGGGGCTTCGGGCAGTCAGGCTTCCCTCTCAGTCGATTGCCTGGGCCAGAGGCACCCAGACTGGAGTTTATAGCCTTGGGCGACTCTCACCTCTATGAATTTAAAAAAATGTGCTTTCATTTTAGGATAATCTAAAATGAATTAAAGAGGCATATTCTGGGTCATCTGAATCCAGCTACTCCTGATGAGGCAGTTTAAGGAAGTGGTAGAGAGAATTGCCCGTGTTCCAATTCCCACTCTCTATTCCAGCCATGTGACCCAGAACATACCCACCCTCTGTGTCCGAGTGTCTGTAGTTGCAAAACGGCGGCAATAATTGTTCCTACTCTAGGGTCCCTGCGAGACCTAAATGAGATTATGGCCGCAAAACACTCAGCCTGGTGTGTGATGAACATCGGCACTCAATCACCCTTTGATTTGTGTGTATCATCTGGGCGGCCCCCTGCCTGTCAGCGGCTGACGAGAAAACACAAAGGTGGACTGAACAGAGGAGTGATGTGTTAGAACTGAGTGAAGGCTAAGTGACACTGTGGCCTGCTGAATAAATGAAGTTTTCACAGCAGTTTAAGTAGAGAAAAGCAGTGTGATAATTGAGTCATCACACCAGGCAGGCTGAATTCAAAGGAACGTGCCCGGGAGTGGTTGGTGCTGTGCTTGTGTCGTGAGCTGCAATTTATTTTTCAGCAGAAGCTCATGTATCCCATTATATCAATGTTGTTAATATGTTTTTTTAATGGCTTTGTTATTTTGTTTGCATTTAATTTATAAATTTGTTTGGCTTTTATAAGAAGGATATACACATGTGTTTATGTTTAGTGTGGACATATTTAAGTGATTTTCTTTACAAAAACAATTTAAGTCATCATTGTCTTAAAAGGCATCCCTACAGTTTTCAGGTTTGGGGGACACTGCCCTAGGTCTTTTGCATTGAAATGCAGGTGGAGAAAAATCTAATGTATTTCCTCTTGGCTCAGATCCCTAACTCCCCATGTGTGCCAGGACTCTCCAGTAACAGGCCTGCGGATCAGAGCAGAGAGGTCAGCCATGACCTTGAGAGCAAAGACGGCCAAGCTAATGGCTCTTCAGCACCTCCAGAGTCTGCCAGCGGGTAGTTTCTCCAAGTCCGCCCCACTCCAGGGCTGTGAGCATGGACTTTATTTTGTGATAGAGGTGATTTATTTTGTGATAGAGGTGACCACGGTGTTACTGGTCTTGCTTTCTAGTATTTCTACCGTTGCATTCAGGTTCTGTGAGATTTGTGGCTCTGTGGGATAAAATGTTTCCCGTTACTTATATTATAACTTGAATGTCTGCAAGAGTGACTGGTGCCCAGTGAGATCCGGGGGGATGAACCCGCGTTCCCCATTCCAGCACCTTTCCAATGCTTCTGAATTTCTGGGGAGCCAGTGTGCTCATGATCACAGGGGGCCCCGGGTTCCTGCTTGTGCAGTGAGCATGTTTTCCCTCTGCATCCTGTGGTTTAATTTTTTTATCCCCACTTTGGCTTCTACCCAAACCCAAAAGATATTTGTCTGTTTCTTTCATTTCCACTGAAATGTACAAGATTTTTACTTGTGTAGTAAATATTACTGAAGGTTTTTAGGAACATTGTCCGGGGTGGGGGTGGGGTGGCAGTGAAGGGAAGGGAAGGAGGAGTTTGCTCCGTAGCAACACCAATGACTTAAAATCCAGTGTTTGACATCTCTGTTCTTAAAAGTCCTTTAGCCACACCGCCATGTTACTTGAACATGGCTTCCTTCCTCCCTCACCTTTCTCTCTCCTTCCATCTGAAAATTTCTAGTCCTTTCTAACAGAACTGTTGCCTGTCTCTTTTTTAGCCCTGTCTCCAGAAGCTCACCTTTCCCCCTCCAACAGTGTGTCAAGGTACTTTCCCTAAGTTTCCTGCTTCAGATGCACTGTTGTCAGGAGTTTAGAGGACTGTGGGCTGCCCCGCTGCACTAACTGAAGCTGCTCACTCTACAGGCTGCTTGCCTGGGAATTGAACAAACACCATCCATATGAGCCCCTGGATGATGTATCCTATCCATTTTACAGGTGTGGGGCCAGGAGCTCAGAGGCTGAGTGAACCATTCAGAGCCACACAGCCAGAGAAGTGGGGAAGTAGAAACTTGCTCCCAGGCCTGGGGTACGACCCGTGTCATCACACACAGACAGGATGTGTGCTGTCTGATCACTCGGGCATCTGAGGCCATGTCGGTCCCGGGTAAGTGATTAGTAAGTGACAGCTCAGGTGGCCTTGGGGCAGCTACGGCAGCCCCAGCGGGTACGTGCATCCTGCAGGAGTCCGACTGCCAGTTCCCTCCCTGTGCCTTCCTCTCCCTCCCTCTTGCTGGCTAGCTCCTGCTCATCTGCAGGTCTAGGAATAGGACTGCTACCTGATCTGTAGGGCTTAGAACAAAATGACTCTAGTAAGTGACTACACAAGTCCCACGGCCATGAATCCAGCCCTGTATGGAAGCGACACCGCCCAGGAAACATCTCTGGCTCCCCGCCCGAGCTAGGTGTTTATCACATGCTACTGTCATTCCCTTTTTATGCACCGGTCTCCCCATTAGCCTGTGAGCTTCTTGAGACCTGGGTTCCGTTCACTGCTGTTTCCCTGGTGCCCGCACAGGCCCTGACAAAGGGCAGGAACTCACTGGGCACCATGGGGGTCTGGGGCTCCTGGAAGTGAAACCTGGAGGAAGCAAGCAGGCAGTGAATCGTCATCCCCACGCAGGACCCACCCAGGACCCCTGAGGTCAGACGAAGCATGACTGAACCTGGGGTACTTTCCAGGGGGTTCAAGTGTGGGGTGGAGGTGGGGGAGGGGCTAATTTTATCTTCAAGAGAGTGTGCTAATCATTTACTGCCTGGGATCTCACCAACTCTGCTCCTCAGGGCCAAGCCAGGTATAACCAGCCAAAAAGGTGAGGGACAGGCAGGGGACAAGGAGTGCAGAACAGACACAGGGCCCTTCCTGGGAGCACACAGCTTGGTGCCAGTCCCCTGGTCCTCTGCCTGGCCCACCGACCCTTCTTTAACTTCCCGAGGCTTCTTAGCCCCCCACACCTCCTTACTCACCCTCCCTACTCAGTGATATCCGTGGCAACAGGGAAATATTTCCCAAAGTCTCTCAAAGTAAGGGGGAGGGAGGAGGGTAGAATTCTCAAAAGTTTCGAACAGTCCTGACCAGTGTGGCTCAGCTGCATCGTTCTGCAAGAGCAAAAGGTTGCTGGTTGGATGACCGGTTGGGGCACATGGCTGGGTTGTAGGCTGGGCTCAGTCCCTGGTCAGGGAGTGTACAAGAGGCAACTGGTAGGCATTTCTCTCTCACACTGATGTTTCTCCCCCTCCCTTCCTCTCTAAAGTTAACCCATCAATCTGCAAAGTTCTGAGCAAAAATGAGCCCTCACATGGATCTCCCGATTCTCACAGATATCTTTTGGTTTTAAGTGACAGAGATCCTACTCTGTAACCAGAAAAAGGGACATATTAGCTCAAAAGCAAGAGGCTCAAGGGCTGGTGTATCTTTAGGAATCGCTGGTCCTTGAGCCCCAGTGATGTCACCAGAGCTCGGTTTCCCTCTTTTCATTTCTCTCCCGGGAGGATGAGGAGGACCAAGTGCATCCCTGCTCTCTGGGCTGTGCCGTCAGGTTTCGGTCAGCACAGACCTGCTCTGCAAAGCCAAGCACGACCTGGAGAGCGACAGTGATGATGGTAAATGGAGGTGTTCTGCAGCCCTTTCCCTTTCACACATGCTACGGGGTGAGGTCAGGTGTTTGCATAGTTGATTCCGTATTTATTGGAGAAACAGGAAGGCCTCAGAAGAACCCGAGGCAGCAGGGCAGTGTCTCCATGTTGTGGGGTCTCCCCACCATGGCTGTGCTTTCTACCTGGGACTCTGGGCCAGGTATGAGGGCATGGACTTGGGATGAAAGACTGGCCTCTCAAAGCCAGGCCATCTGGGTTCCATGCTTGTCCTCTCAGGACCTTCTGCTTGACCTTGGCTCTTGTCACTGAGCCTCAGTTTCCCACCTATAAAATGAGGGGCTGGACAAAACCTGTAAGGCCCTTCTTAGCTCTTCACTTCTATGGTTCTAGGTCAGGTAGAGAAAGAAGACCAGTCAGGATTCTGGTTCTGTTCCTGCCTTGGCCATGACTTCCCAGGTGACCTTGGGTAATCCTCCTCTGTTTTTGGACTCGTTTCCCACTTTCCAACAGCCCATGTCACATCAGAGGGCTGTATAAAAGGTGGCATGGAGCAGGGCTCTCATGGGACCAGGATTCTGGAGGCCTGCTCCTTGGCAGGCTCACCACTGAGAATCCCAGGCAGTAGAAAACCCTGGCCTGGGACCAGCCTTTCGGTGAAGTCTGTGGGCCCAGTACCCCTGCTTCTGGGGTCTGCACCCCCAGTCATGTGGCCTTGGGCATCCTCTGCCTGCTTTGGCCCTCAGCCCTTGCTCGTATTTCCAGACCCAGAAGCCAATATGGGCTTCAGCCAAAATGTTCAGTTCTGCCGAAGGCTCATCAAAGGCTATTCTGAGCGAATGGGATGGCCTAATGCTGGGTGGGACATTGAGGAAGCAGACATGAACCCCATCCTTGGTGAGCTCATGGTCTAGGGTGGGGGAGGAGGGCCAGTGCCATTACAGAGGCACAGTGTCCTCAGCACAGAAAATAGGAAGAGATGATTTCATGTTGGGGACTCTAGGGTGGTATTTTGCTTGGGACCTTGAAGAACAGGGAGGATCTGTGATAACACTGCAGGCTGAGGCCAGCATGGTGGAGGAAGCGCTGACAGTCGATAGGGTCCAGGAGGAGGTGGGTGATGAGGCTGGAAGAAGCACGGGATCAAATCTCACAGGCTGTCGTGGCCTAGAGGGCGTGTCAGGGCTGGGGGTGGTAGGTGGGCAGGGAGGCTCCTGGCTTTATCAGGAACCTTTTGGTTGTAAGTGATGGGGACTGAATCTGAACCAATCCTGACAAAGAAGGCCATTTATTGGAGGGACTGAGATTCCAAGGAAGTCCTGTGCATCCCAGCATGGGAAGGCTCAGGGGCTGCTGGGCTTAGGGGCTACTGGCCTCAGGAACAGCTGTCAGAGGCTCAGACACCAGGAGAACCCACCTCTTGGTCCTGCTTCTTTTTGTTTTGGTTTCTTTGTTCTCTTTCGTGGCCAATGAAGCATCTTTACATGGAGGGACCCTGGGGAAGGGGCTTTCTACTGGCGCAGCTCAGGTCAGGTTCCCACTTTGGATCCATCACCTGCGGCCAGAAGCTGGGTCACCTGGTACCATAGTAACTGTCAGCAGAAGGCAGGGGAGGGCAGCCTCTGAAGGAAGGGACAGTGTTGAGCAGGAGGCCCCAGAGCTGTCCCTTGAGACCTGAGCAGAGGAATACAGCCTGAAATGACCTGAGTTTTGGGCTTAGGAATAGGCATTAAAGACGACAGGTTTTCCCCTTTTATTCATAAAAACAAATTTGCAACAATTTATTAAAAATTGATACCATGCAATAGGGGTTCAAGAAATTCCTCATTTACATTTGATTCTGGTAGTTCCAGTCTAATTTAAAGCGTTTGTGCACTAACTTCATTGGAAAACACCTTCAGGCTGAAGCCTTTTTGGAGATGTACGGTGTGTTTGCTGTGTAGAAAAGAACAGACTGTTACGTAGCTAGAGTCACTTCTGTGGGTCTTATTATTTGCAGGGAAATTTTAAAAAAATGGGTGAACCTACAGTATCATTAAGACAGAGAATGTACTTCGTGGGTTAACCTAGAAGACTGTGCACGTCAGGGGGTCACAATGGGTCACAGATGTGCACACGCACCGCCGACTGTCCGATGCTTTTGTTTCTTTTCCCCTCACTATGCTGGAATAGTATTTCTACAGGTTTTTTTTTGTGTGTTTGTGTGTATACATTATGTACAATGAATCGTCTCTTTCTCTTTGAAATATTAGTGTGGCCCTTTAAATGAAATCTGATTTTGGTGAAATCAGGAAAGCAAGTAAATACTGGTAATACACAGTGAGTGACAACACCGATTTTTAGTGCCAAAAGACAATGACTTCAACTTGACCTGTGATGTGTTAACATTTTTTCCCCCCTAAAAGCTACAGTACCTCCACAACCTCTCTTTGGGGGAGGGGAGAGGAAAGCTATGCTACGTGAAATAGGGTGTTTTGAAATGTTGGTGACGGTAGGATTCCTGCCCTTTTGTCAAAGCCTGGTGGTGACAGCAGCATGTTCCTGACTTCAGGGGTCTGGGAGGAGATTATTGCCTGCCTGTTGAAGCTGCCATTAGGTTTCTTTAGGGAGCGAGCGGCTGCTCGGTTGTGCAGATGTCCTGGACGTTGTCATTCAGCCTTTCTTTAGCAAAGAATGAACCTGTCTAGGAATGTCACAGAAGTCATAGGGAGCCTCTCTTCGGCCGGCTGATCCTGGTAGAGGGTCGTCCTGGGAGCTTCTCTGGGTTGCTCCCCTGGCTGATGTGGGGCTGAAGGTCATGGTCATCCTGATACCTCACGGGTCAGGGCCGCTTCACTGTTTGGTCCGAAGCTTTCCTGCACAAGATCAAGTTTTGATCCTCAGAGTGACCCCGTGAGGTAGGCAGGATGGGTGTTATTTCAACCCCAACTTGTTGGAGACGGGAAACTGAGGCTGAGAGAGATACTGGTGACTTGCCCGAGGTCATGGAGGGAGTCAGCAGTGGAGTGAGGACTTGAACCCAGGTCTGTCTTACTCTCAGGCCAGTGCTCTTTGGGGTTCAATGAAAAGAGAAGGGTGAGCTCACGAATGAAAATCAGTGTGCCGACCAATCACCCCTGTGACCCCCATGGGCACAGCTCACTGGCTTGTCTGGATTGAAGGCTGCCTTCTGGAAGCCGAGGGAAGCCCCCAGGTGGCAACTCGTTCCCCTGCTGCTACAGGGATGTCTTCTAGAAGAATGCCCATGATTCACTTTGGTTAGAAACAGAGTCAGTGGGGGAAAACCAACCTGGCAAGCCCTTGGGCCCTGGAGAGAGGTTAAAGTGCACAATCTTTCTGTTTTGTGTATGCTGGGAACGGACAGTCCATGACTGGCTCAGGCGGCCCCCCCTTATTACCGGGGACACCTGATACAAACGCAAGGACATGGCCAGCGTGGCGGGTGCATGACCGACTGTCAGCGAATGCTGCAGAGCGTGTCTGCAGTGACGTGCCCTAAATCCCCACGGTCCAGAACGCGTGTTATTGTGTTAATGTGTGGCATTTATCAGAGAGTAAGGTCCCACCGGGAGGCATCGCTCAGCTTGCTCCCACACCCCAGGCCTGGCCACCTGCCGTGGAGCTGCGCCTGGTTGCCCTTCCTGCAGGCTCCCCATTCCAGGAAGGCTGGGGTCGGCTGGACTGGCAGCTGGGGCCTGGCTGCCCTGCCCACTTCCCTCCCCAGAGGGGAGGAGGGCTGGCCTGGGGGGCTGCAGCCAGTGACGTGTGTGCAGAAGTGGAGGCCATGTCCCCGGAAGCCCTTTCTCTTCCCAAAGCTGCTCAGTGACTTCTAGCTGGAGTTCTAGTGACTCTTTCCTTGTCTAGGGTTTTTTTTTCTTCAAAGTTTCAAATATCTCAGTTTCTCCTGTTTCCAGACATGAAGGAAGAAGTCATTTCCATTCCTCTTCTTTGTGAAAGAATAAAAACTTCACAAATAAGGCGCGGGGTCAGGTGCCAGGTGCGCCCGTCCTGTCCACCCAAGTGCCCCGGAGCAGCCCCGCGAGGCCAGCCGCGGCGTCCCACCTCTCTGCAGCCAGATCCGACCGTGCTCCTGCAGCAGACGCCTCTGCTCTGTGTGGTTCCGTCATGGGGGAGGCCTCGGCCCCAGGCCTTCCGCCCTTACAGGCCCGAGACCATCACTCGGAAGGAAGGTGGCACATGTCTGTGGCGGGGGCTGGCGGTGGGGCTGACGCAGGGGCTGGCACAGCTGGCGTCCACGCCTCCGATGGACGGGAGGTAGGCGTGGTGGAGGATGGGGAGCTGGAGGGAGAGCCGGCGCTGGATGCTGTGGCAGGCAGGCAGGCAGAGAGAGAGAGAGAGAGAGAGAGAGAGAGAGAGGAGGGTTAACGAAGGCTATCTGGCTGCTCACCAGAAAGTTCCTTGGACTTGCTTTGGCTAAGAGGCTGATGGTAGGAGCACAGTTTTCTCTGATTTCAAGATCTGACTATCCTGTGATCTCACCGTTCACCATCTTGCAGGTATTTAATGCAGGCCCACCTGTGCCAACTACCGCCCTGGGAATAACCAGGGAAATGATAAGTGAGGAGGATGCTTCTTGAGCTTCTGGTGACTCCTAAGAACAGGCTTTTCTGTGAACATGGACAGTTCCCATTCTCTACTCTTGCAAGCCCCCCACATGGACCTGGCTTTGGGTTCCCTCCCTGAAAGGCTTCCCGGCTGATCTGTCCTTCCCAGTTGGCTCTGCCTCTCCTGCCTGCCCAGGACCTCAACCCCGCTCACTGGGCCAACTCCAGTCGGTTCCCTCCTGGTCTTTGAGCTTCTTTGGTGACTAGCATTACTGAGAAGGGGCACTTAGGGCTAAGAGCTACCTTTTGCCAACTTCTCCAGTTGAATCTTCTACCTCCTCTCTCTGCACACGCTGTCCTCTGGTGGCTCGTTTCCCCTAAAACTGCCCATGGCCACTCTGTGCCTTTGCACACACCATTTCCGCCACCTGGAGAGCCTTGGTCTACTTCCCGAGCTGATGAACTGCTTTTCCTTCAAAGCCCAGTTCTTTGTATTAACTGTCTTGGAGAGTGAGCCCCTTCCTTCTCTAAGCTCCCAGAGCCCTCGGTAAATTTCTGAGCTGCAGCCAGAAAACCCCGACTCAGCAGGTAGATTGCGTGACTGACGGAGGAGCCGAGTGAAGAGGGAGCTGCCTCCCGACTCCCTTCTTATTGCCACACCTTCTGCACTTCCTTCTCGCCAGTCTTCACTGTGACTGGCGGGTCAGGAAGTCCCCTTAGTTGTTGGGGGAATGTGCCCAGGCCACCGGCCCTGCTCAGCTGTGCTCTGTGCACTTCTCTGTGGCAGCTGGGAAGCTGCCTCACCTGTATTCTTAGGCCTTCTGTGTCCCCAGTGCCTGGCCGTGTAGGGGGGACGAAACCCAGACTGTCACAAAAACCCAGGGGGCAAAGGCAGTATTCCCGTTCCACAGATGAGTTTACGTAACTTGCTCATGGAAACAAAACAAGGTGGGACTCCTGCTTCTGTTAACCTGCGGAGCTTAGTCGGGCAGGCCAGGCACTTCACAGGGGCTGCCTGACCCCAGCACACAGTGCCCTGGACCAGAAGGAGGGCGCCGGTGCGGATCTGAGATGGAGGGGGACAGATGCAGGGCTGCTCCACTCCCTACAGGCCTGCTGGACAGAGGGGCTTCTCCCAAGAGATACTTCACAGACGTTTATGAGGTCAGGGCGTCGGAGACCTCATTTTGAAATGAAAGTTGAAGCTGTGTTAACAATCGCTTCCTTAAGGCAGGATGGTGTGGGCAGAGTCTGGGAAAAAGGGCCTGAAGATAAACTCAGACCCAGGAAAGGGTGCCCTGTCCAAGCCTTCCTGGTGGGGCCATAGCTGGGCAAGGTGGGCACCTGTGTGGCTGTCAGAGCCATAGCGTTCTGCTGTCCGGTGGGACCCTGTTCACATTTTCATTCATTCAACAGACACTTGCTAAGAATCTGCTTGGTGCTTCAACCTGTGTTCAGTCCAAGGGACCTATGAAGGACCCATATCTTACGGTCAAGGCGCTGACACTATAGTGAGGGAACTGACAGGTGAACTGCCGATGCAGGCCATGTAACCCTCAGTGACTGTTCTGGACTGGAAGCCAGTGAGCCCTGGAGCTCATTGGTTTGAGAGGCTATTAGCTCTAACACTGAATGGCCCCAAATGACTCGGCAGTTGGTGATTCAGCTGTTTTTGCTGGTTCCTCACTGCATGTCACTTCCCAGGAGCCAACTTGCAGGGCTGACATTTCTCATCTCTGCTTCCAATCTGCTGGGAGCTGGGAGGAACTAAACACCACCAGTGGGAACAAAGCGAACTGAGATGCCCAGGTCTTTGCTTCGATGATACCTTCTCACTGAGTCTCCTCTGACTGCCCTATTTAAAATTACGCTCCTAACCCCCTTCCCTGTTCTGTTTTTCTCCAAAGCATCTGTCATTTAAGATACCAGGTTTTGTTTTTTAAATTAGGTTATTATCTTACCAGATAGATTGGAAGCTCCATGAAGGAAGCAATTTTTGTCTGTATTCTTCACTGCTGTGTCTGACACATAGTAGGTCTCAATAAATCATTAAGTAAACATGCTTAGCAAGACTGAGTTTCCTACATAACAAGGGCAATGTGTTAGTGGAGAACATGGGATTTAATATTATCTCCTGCACTTAGCAACGGGGTGAGCTTTGACAAGTCACCTCCCTTCTGTGAATATTAGTGTTCTCATCTGTAAAGTGAACATTGCCATCTGACTGCCGTGTGGGACTGCCGTGGAGTTCAAATGCAGTACCGCACCTGCCAACACCGTGCGAACTGTAAACCGTTCTGCAGGAGTCGCGTGTGCTCCGGCAGGAATTCTCAAGGGGAAGGCACTTACTGTTCTGGGGAGTTTATGTCTTCTACGGGGTCTTTGCATGTTCGCGAGGGCTCTGTTGTGCTCCACTGAAGCTGGGGGTTTTGATCGAGGTGATTTTTTAAAATGGCCTTTCCTCCATCTGAATGCAAAACAACAATATCATATTAACTCAAGTTTTAAGTCGACAATGCACTTCTTTTTAGGCTGCTGTCCGAGGAGAGAGAATGCAAAAGAGCGCAGCCCCTCTTTGCATGCTCATGCCTTGGTCACTTCCCCAGCCCTCCGGGGACCACGGGGAGAGCAGAGAGCCCCCGCCCAGGGACCAGAGTGGCATGCGCAGGGCCGGGGTGTGCCCTGTGCCTGCCTTTTCTCCAAGGAAAAAAGGGGTGGGAATCGTGTCAACCAATGAAGGCAAAAGACCTTAGAGGTTCTAATCTGAAGGCCCTTTTCACTGGTACCCAGGGATATAATGACAAAGAAATATCTCCAAGGTATATTTTCCAAGAATTCAAAATAATAATAACAGTAATCTTCTGGTGGGAGTTGAAATGGACACAGTCTTTCCCAAGGGAGCTGTCAGGAAGCATCGAACACTGTGGGGAGCACGTATGTCTTCCGCTCAGAATTCTCACTTCTGGGAATCATCCTTAGGGAGTAATTAAAGATCTGCGCGGAGCTGCATACAAGATGTTCAAATCAGTATTGTTTACGATATTGGGAACTGATCCTAATCTGTTCAGTAATAATGGATTAGTTACATCCTAGTAGGTACGTATGGGGCCTCCATTCAAAGAAATACTGTGTGTCCACAGAACATGACAATGTGGCTGCTGTCAACCCGCTTTGCGCTTCGGACCACCTGGGGGGAGTGAGAGAAGTTGTAGCTATGAACCCCTGTTCCCCGCCGAGAGATCTGGATTCATCTGGAGAGTGTTGCCTTCTTCCCCTGCACTGCACAAGTTCATACAGGTCATTTTGCACCCGTGGAGTACAGTCAGTTCTCCTTATTCATGGAGTCTGTATTTGTAAACTCTCCCACTCACTAAAGTTTATTCGTAGTTTCGAAGTCAGTGTTTGTGATGCTTCTGTGGTCATTTGCTGACACACACAAAGTATCGGAAAACTGGAGTTGCCAGACACACACATTCCCCTGTGAGGTCCACTCTGTCTTCTAGTTTCAGCCCCCATTTTATGAATAAGTGGATTTTTGTAGTCTGTTCAGGGCCACATTTTTCATACTTTGCGGCTTTATGCCGGTGATTTCACTGTTAAAAGTGGCCCCAACTGTATGCTGAAGGGCTGACCAGGGTTCCTGAGCCGAGATGTGCCTGGAGAAAGTATGTGTGTTCATTCAGGCGTAAGTGGCAGTGCTCCTGGCTGTGAGTTTGATGTAAGCGCATCATCAATATACAGTAAATAAGGTGTCTTTAGACAAACACACACAAAGCAGGGTTTGTACTGATCTGCCGACAAAAATGCCAACCTGTAACAGGCTTGCAGGAACTAACCCTGTATTTCCCCGAAGAGTGGTAATTCAGGAGCCACCAATTCACATTTCACAACAACTTAATAAAACGTAAGTATCACGAGTCATGACAGTTGCCTGACATTTAGCCTTAGGAGAAATTCCAAAAGTGGAATTGCTGGATTAGAACAACTTTGTGCCAACCAGCAGTGTTCGAGAACGCCCCATTTTCCACCCGTCTCCTCGCATTCCCTGCAACTTCTTCATCTCTGAACTTGACCAGTCGAGTCTTACGGGAGAACATGGTGTCACTGCAGATTTAATCTGCACCCCTGAGTAAGGGCCACGACTGAGCATCTCTGCAGAAGCACAAGGTCCACCTGTGCTTCCCGTGGTCAGCGCTCTCCTGCCATCTTTTCCTTTGGCTTGTTGGTCTTTTCTTATTAAATTTCATATAGTTATACACATTCCATACACAATGACATAAATTTCTCCTTATACATAAGGACATGAGCTTGTTGCCTGAGTTGTAATACTTTTTGGTGTACTTTGGTGTTCAACTTTTTGACTGTACTTGTGGTAGCATTTGCATTGTTAAAAAATTTTCTTTTGTGTTTAATTTGTTAGTTGTTGGTGGTTTCCGTGTCTGGCATCAAACTTAAGACGTCTTTCCTTCTTCTGAGATCATAAAACAAATTCTTCTAGTATATTCATGGTTTCACCCTTTATGTTTAAATCATCTATCCACTTGGATCTTTGTGTAAGGAGCGAGGTAAGCATCTAACATTATTTTTTTTCCAAATGGCTACCCATTTTTCCTGATGAACTATAGTAAATGACCACCTTTTCCAGATACTAAAATTACTAGGAGTGATTTTTATTCTTTCAATTTCCTCATTATTTACCTCAGTTTAAACAGTTTTAAACAATAAATTTCTTGTATAAGTTTATAATATTGCTTTTATAATATACTAATTATATATAATAAAATCAATTATAAGCATACTTATTACTTACGTGATAAAAGAAAAGATTTTTCATTGACTTAAAAATTTTTATAACAGAAATAGATATATGCTAATGACAAAATGCAAACAACAGAGAAGTATATAAAATGAAATGTAAAGATTCCCTTCTTGCCCATCCCCCCATACACTGGCCTCCCCTTCCACACAGGTGGAGACTGTTACCGCTTTGGTGTGTGTCCTTTCAAATCTTTGTAGAAGACACACTTGCACACACACACACGTGTATCTGTGTGCCTCGTAATGCTGGTCTCCATCCTGCTTTTCACTCAAAGGTCTTGCCATATCCGCACAAATAGATCCCCCTCACTTTTTAATTAGCCGTATGGTGCGCCTCGTTTGGTTGTATCATAATCAATGAAACTACCCCAAATAAGGACAATTAATTCCAGTTTTTCTTCCCTAAAAAAAATGTGGTGGTGCTCAGTGTGCGTCTCCATCTTTGCCCACATGGGAGCATTTCCAAGGGCTGGCTGCTTCTGGTGGAGCTGACAGGTGAGAGGTTTCACATCTAATGTTTGGAGAGGGACAGACCGGCTTCCCAGACATTGCAGGAGAATGCTTGTTTCCATATTCTTACCAACAGTGGTGACCTTCTAAAGGTGAAATGTAGGCGAGAAATGGCTGGTGTTATGTCAGCCTGCATTTCCCAGGAGGTTGGGGAGGCCAGAGCCCTGCCGTACCCCATTGACCACCCCTTCCCTGCACATTGATTGGGTGGTGGAAATTGAGTCCCATTGTTGGGAGAAGTGCAGGCGCTCTGTCAGACCGACGCGCCCCAGTCAGAACCCTGGGGATGCCGGCCGTGTGTGCAGATGAGCACCTGAGGCCAGGGGTCCGAGAAATGGAAGCCCTAGCTCCAGGCAGAGTGGGGTTCCAGAAGGACACTGGATTGTGGCCAGAGGTGTGGGCTGCAGATGCTTCCGCTCTGCTTGTGTGACTTCAGTCCAGCCCCATCCCTCCCTGACCCCAGGTTCTCTATCTGTCAGATGCAAGGTTGGTGGCTGGGGTCTGATCCCCAGTTACAGGGGCCCCGCCTCCTCTTACCTGTGCTCTCGGTGAAGTTCCCCAGGCTGAGGATGTCATTGAGCTCTTGGTAATGGTTCTGTTTAATGTAGGTAGTCTTTTCTGGCGTGTCCTGCAGCTGCATGGTGACCTCTTCCAAGTCTTTATCCAGCTAGAAGACAAAGGCTCCAGATGAGTCAGAGCTCTGGCCCAGTAGCTAAGCCTCAAGAGCCAAGAAGGGACACACAGGGTTACAGGACTGGGCCTCAGGCTGGCTCTGGGAGGGCACTGAGAGCCGGAGGGGCTGCTACGTGTTGGGGGAGAGACACAGAAGGTCCCTGCCGGCTCTGGTTCCAGGAGAAGCTGTGAAGAGAGGGGCCTGGGCTTTGTGATGATGTGTCCAGTGCAGGCTGTGCCTTGCTGGAGCAGCTTGGGGAGGCAGGGGGAGGGGAGAGTGTCACAGCACAGGTTCTGAAGCTGGGCAAGCTAAGGACAAACCCAGGGCTGCTCCTCACTGGCTGTGAGCTGGCTGGTGAGAAGTGAGTCTCAGTTCCTTCATCTGTAGAACGGGGCAATAACAGTACCTACCTCACAGGGATCTTGTGAAGATTAAATGAGATGATAGAATGAAAGTTTAGCCCAGTGCTTGACGTATAGTGTGAGTGACCTACTACTATAACATTCCTGTAATTATTATCATTGATACTAGCAGAAACCTTGGTGTGGGGGGGCTGGACAGGTCTGCAGGACTGGTCAGCTCTGGGTTTCACACTGTCACATACGCAGGTAAGTAGCGGTGCCTTCAGAGGAGTCATGCAGGATAGAACCCTGTCACTCCCAGGGTCTGGCTGAAGTGACGCCTGCCTGAGTGTGGTTGGTAGGGTAATACTATGGGTGTAATAATTTATAGTTTTATTTTGAACATTTCACCTAAAAGGTCATATGGTGTGTTGAGTGTGACATTGTTAAGTTATAGAATTGCATGCTTATCATTTTATAATAAAAGATTTTGTAATAAAACAGGGGCATATTTGTGCCGAACCCTGTATCAAACTCAGAAGCAAGCCCTGGCCAGTTTGGGCCCTGAGAAGTCTGGGGAATGGGTGCATGTTGGGGAGCAGATGGTAGTGGTGAGGGGAGTGGGTATCCCCCTGCAATATAAGGGGGGTACCACACAAACTGAAAGGTGCTGTTCTGATGTCAAGGGCACAGGCATGAATTGTTTAATAAGTTTTCACGTGGAGGGGGAGGGGAGAGAGACCTTTTTCTGTGGGACTCAAAAGCAAGGCTAAGGGTCAAAGGGTGGAAGCAACAGGAAGCCAGATGGTGATCCAACTCCAGGAGAACCAGCCCAACGCTGCATGGCTCTGACAGCCGCCTGGGGTTTGGGTTTCCTCGAGTGAGTGCCCCGCTCAGGGCTGGAGTGCGCTCCTGGAGCTGAGGACCCGGAAGCTCTGGTGGCAATGGAGGGCTGCCCGCCCTGGCAGCCAGCTTTGGGGCGCAGACGACTGTGGGGAGGGCTTTGTGGCAGACTCTGGGGAGCCCCCATGGTGGGCACGACCAGATTAGCAACTAAAAATACAAGATGCTCAGTCACATTTGAATTTCAGATCATAAGGAATCAATTTTTAGAATAAGTATATCCTCAATATTGTATGGGCCATACTTACACAAAAAAATATGATTGGTTGTTTGTCTGAAATTAAAATGTAACTGGGCATCCTGTATCTAACCTGATGACCCTGTTCCTCGGGACTCTTAGCTAGAGACCGAGGTCCCCAGCCTCCCCATGGCTCAGCGTGACGTGCGAGTTCTTGTCAATGTGACTAGAGCGAACCCCAAGGGTGCACGGTTTCGTTTCCCTTGTTGAAGGGCAGTCCCCTGCACGGACTTCCTCTCTCTTTCCTTCCTGAGACTGAGAACAGGACATGCCTGCCTCCTGGCTTTAACTGTACAGCTGAGGACAGCAAACACCTGGGGGAGCGGCAGGCCAGACTGAAGGAGCCTCATCGGCAATGACCTTGGGGAGCAGAGCTGCCTGCCCACCTGGGCTTCTCTCCTTAGCACTGTTATGTGAGAGAGAAATAAATGCATATTTCCTTTGGGTGACTTTATTTGGGTGCCTCTTTGTTACGGAGACTTAGCCAGTCTCCTAACCAGTACACTCTCCTTTGTTCCTCTGTGTCCCATTGAATCCGAATTCCTCTATTAAACACAGGGCCCAAGCACCATGGGCCCAGCCCCAACCCCTGACCCAAAGGGAGGGGTGGACAGAAGAAGGTAATTTGATTTCCCCTCCCTGGTATAGGAAGTGCAGAATTTGAGGTTTGGCTGGGCACAAAGGAATCTAGTTTGGGCCTCTCTCAAATACTGAAGCTCCAGTTAAGGACCTTCCGGACAGAGGCGAGGTCTGCTGCTGCGCTCTCTCGCTCCTGAACGTGTCTCTGCACTTCCTCCTCTCTTGGGATACATCAGACAGATGCAGGTGATTATGGGGTGTGTAGGGAGAGGGAAAAACTGAGGAGGAGCACACAGTTAGAAAGTTACTTGTGAAATAATAGAAGATCTATTTTGTCCTCTGCTGCCCAAGTTCCTGAAGATCCTTGTAATTTCCTGAGTGATAGGCATGTTTTTTACTTTCATGAGGCAACTCTGGGTGGGCTCCCTGGGGGAGGGCTGGTCATCAGGAAGACCAAGCCATGACTAGAAGCTTGGGATTCAGGGCCCCACCCTTTTCCCCTGAGACAGGGAGAAGGGCTGCAAACAGACTTAATGATGGGTCAGGCCTGTGTGGTGGAGCCTCCACAGTAATCCCAGAAGTACCGGGTCCAGAGAGCTCCGCAGCCGGCCGATGAACCTCCGCACCGGGAAGATGACGCACTCCAGCCTCGTGGGGCAGAACCCCTGTGCTCCGGGCCCTCCCAGACCCTGCCCTGTGTTTCTCATTATGTGGCTGTTGCTCCGTATCCTTTATCATTCCCCTTAATAAACTGGTAAACGTAAGCATTTCCCTGAGGTCTGTGAGCTGCTCTAGCAAAGTATTTGAACCTGAGGAGGGGATCGCGGGACCCTCTGATCCGTAGCTAAGTCGGACTGAAGTTGAGGACAACCTGGGGGCTTACGACTTGTGCTTGGCATCTGAAGTGGGGTGGGAGCGGCATTGAGGGACCGAGCCTTTCACCTCTCCAGGTAGACAGTGTTAGAACTGAGCTAAAGTCTCAGACACCCAGGTGGTGTCACAGAGAATTGCTTGGTGTGGAAAACACCCCTGCCCCCATACATACACATATGTGGTGACCAGAAGTGTCAGAGGTGAAGTGTCCTGTGGGAGAAGCAGAGGAGACACACAGGAGGTGTACAACTGAGGTTGTCCAACTCACTGCTCTAATCTGGAAGCTCACCGGTCTCTAAGAACGCCTTTCTTTCTGGGGACATCTGACTTGAATCAGGGCATTGCTGGGCCCCCAGAGCCTGGCCCAGGTGGGCGATAAACTTCTGCTGGATTCTGGCTAACGGCCTCTGTATAGTTCATGCCCCCGCCCACCACATTCTTGTAGCCACAATGGCAGCAGGTGGAACTGCACAGCCATGATGTAGGGGTGTCCCAGGGAGTCGTGGTGGCAGCAGCGGGCCCGAGAGTCCCTGCATCCGGGTGGCAGTGCTGCGAGAGGTACCTCTGTGATCTTCATCCGCAGGCGGTGGTTTTCGGACTGCAGGCCCTCCAGGCGGGACGTGCTTGCTTGGTTCACGCTGGTGACTGAGGTGGACGTTTTAGAATCTTCTTTCTTCTGATTCTGAGTGAACTGAAACCGTCGGTTCTGAGTGGCTGCGTCTGGGTTTGTCCTCAGAGTGATCAGCTGAAAGGCCAAGGGCGGGTGTGAAGAGAGAGCCCCACGGCCCTCCTCCACCCAGTTCTTACCAGCAGGTCTTGCACTGGAGGCCACGTGGCCACAGAAGGGACACAGGACTGCCTGATGTCGCCCTGTGTGTGACCTGGGCAGGCCCTTCCTTTGCTGAGTCCCTCCTTTCGGTGCAGGTCTGGTCCCCAGACCCCTTTTCCACCAGCACCCCAACCACCCTGCAGAGCCCCCCGAGGGCCCCCAGGCCTGGCTCTGCTGAGCCTCGCTCTGCCTTGGGCCTCGCCCAGGTGTGGGAAATAAACCCGAGGGTGACAGTTGTGACGGCAATGGGACGGAGGGAAGTGATGGCTTCCCCCTGTTAGAGCCACTGATGAGTGACCAGTGAATAGCTATGTTGCTGACCAAGCCATTTATACATTAGAGAAAAGGTTGCCACTTGACCCTGATCTTACTCCTTTAGTAGAGAAACATCTGGGGTTCGAGGCAGGCTGTGGGCTCAGTCCTGAGGAGCAGAGGCCCAGCAGGCCCCAACCCCTGACGGCCCGGAGCGCGTGGTCCAGAGCACAGGGTCTGGAGGGGAGGGGCTGAACTCTGTGCAAGGTCTGGGAGGATGGGAGCACAAGGGAAGTCCAGGGAGGCCTGGGGCTCGGGCACTTGTGGAGAAGGGCGGTTTGGAAGGTGGACTGGGATTTCTGGGGGGACTGGAGGAGACGAAGGGCAGTGCAGGGTCAGAGACTTGACCTATGGAGGGTGACAGAGCCGAGTGACACGGTCGGAGCTGGGCTTAGACTCATGGGGCATGTTTTGGGTGCTGGCAACCAGAAGAGGAAGGAGGGCACGCTAGAGGCATTCAGGGCAGAGCTGGCACTGTTTGGGGGCTGACGGGGCACTGGGAGGACGCAGGTGAGTGCGCAGCCAGCCTCTCGGGGAGGAAGGGGCCTGAGTGACCTCTCCCATCTCCTCCTCCTGGGCAGACGCTCCCGCTCCCGAGAGGGCCAACGACTCCCTCTCCAGTCTGCTTCCTGCTCGTCTCTACCCTTGAGACCCACCGGACCCGAGAAGGTCCGGCTCCCCTCGGGCTCCCGGGAGGTCAAGGCCTCCGGTTCAACAGTCTGTTGAGGGGTGGGATGATGTTTGAAAAATACCTCTCAGGGTGGCCTTGAAGGCCAGCTTTTCAGATGAATGAAAATGTAAGTGGCTGTTAAGATGACCATTCTTTTTGACCCACTGACACTACCACTGCCACTCTATCTTAAGAGAATGATTGGAAATAAGGAGAATGTGTATGTAGAAAAAATGTCATTTACAGTACAAAAAGCCTGGAGATGACTGTAATGCTCACCAATAAGAGATTAAGTGGGCCAGTAAATATGGGACTTCCCCTCAATGATGGTTATACAGGTGGGGGATGCAAAGGACACAAATTAAGCGAAAAAGGCAAACTACAAAGCAATATTTGTGCTATAATCACAGCTATATAAAAAAAAGCATTGGTGTCTAATTGTTAAAAAAGCTTTGGAAGAAACAGCCCAAATATTAACAGTTTAAAAAAAAAAACAACAAAACATCAACAGTGACTATTTTGGGGTGGTGGGACTATGTGAGATTTCTGAAAAACTTGCTTTTTACTTTTCTGCATTTCCCCAACTTTCTGTGCTGTGAATTGTGACCATCACTAAAGACGGCACATGCAGAAAGAACTTGGGAAGTGGAGGAGAGTAGGCAAGCCCCTGTGGGAGCCGGGGCGGAGGCCTGGCGGCGAGGTGGGTACCTTGGGCACGAACACGAGGCAGAGGGTGATGGTGCTGCAGAAGATGATGACCAGGGCCACGATGCAGAACTGCACATTGGGCTGGTCCCGGGTCAGGAAGGAGACGGCAGCCCCGATGATGCACATGATGCCCACGTTGTAGACGCTCATCCCGATGTACTTGCTGTCATTGAGCGCGGGGATGCTGACGTTGCGGGTCTCCCAAGCTAAGAAACAACCGAACAACTGAAACAGTGAAGAGAAAGGGAAGAAGGTCATTTCTGAGTGGCAGCACACGCTCTCTGCTCTGAGCAGCAAACAAACTGAACTGCAGGTTGCTTGGGAAGCGGGGACTGCGGGGAGGGAGCCCGGGGCTTTGCTGTCCGCTGGGTCGTTTGGGTGTCATGGTCTGTCTCCATTCATGGCTCTGGGGTGAATCTGGGGGTGTGGGCCGGGAGTGATACAGCTGTCCAGTTGTCCTCTGCCCCCACCCCTGGTTCCTGCACAGATCACAGAAGGAAAGGCCACAGTGGGATGATCAGACATGATCTCAATCGCTTTCCCTCATTCTACAGAGAGAGGAAGGGGCTCGTCCAAGGCCACACGGCAATATGGTGGCAAAGGTGGAATGTGTCTGTAGAAGTTCAGTTCAGTCTTTTTTTTTTTGGTAAACCAGGCAGAGCCCCTGTGTCTGGGAGTTCTGTTACCCCCACAATGCACATAGGTACCCGGAAAAGAGACTGTATTTCCTAGTCTGTACACGACTGGGTTCTGGCCAATGCCATATAGTATGTACAAGTGCATACAAGTTCTGGGAAGCATCTTTAAAGAGAAGTACATTTCTTTTCCTCTTTCCTAACAGATGGAGTGGAATGTGATGGGTGGAGCTTCGGCAGCCATCTGACCACAATGTGGAAGCGGCTTGGGGAAGATGTGGGAGGAGCCATGAGAGGCAAGGAGCTACCCACACCTCTCCTAGATTGTTTACTTGAGAAGGAAATTAATAAACTATCTCTTTAACCACAATTATGTCTTAACCAATATCTGCCAGCAGAATTGGGCGTAGTAGAACTCAAATGTAATCTGAAGCAGGGTGCAGAGTTTATCTGCACAGGTGGCCTAAGGGGCGGGCGGGCAGGCGCGGAGGAAGTGCAGATGCAATACAGGGCAGAACTGGTGGTGAGCGAGGGAGGAAGAGCTTGGGCGACCGCTGGCCGGTGCGGGGGCTTCGCCACAGTCCAGCACCTGCAGGAGGCCTCCCCTCAAAGGCCCCTCTCCCCTCTGATGTCATCACTGCAGCTGGGGCGTCCGACATCTGCACAGGCCACTGAACGTCACAGTGAGGGCCCGTCGGGGGTCCGGTTCAGTTTGCAGCGCAGTGCCCTGGAGTAGAAGGGGCGCTGGCACGGGGCTGCAGGGGCTGGACTCTGCTCTGTTGTCCTCGGGCCGTGCGACTCTGGGCAAGTCATTTCGCCTCCCGGGACCTCAGTTTTGATGTCTGTGATATTTCAATATCTGTGAAACGGGAGTAATAACAATACCTATCTCACAGGGCTTCTTTCTGGATGGGATGAGAGGACGGATGTGAGAGTAGTTTGTAAGTGAAAACGTCCTGCACAGAGTTTGAAAGGCATTTGTAATATGTGTAGAATCGTTGTGGTTGTTTCCTCTCCTTGGTGTGTCATCTCACAGACCAATTTTTTTTTTGAACTCCTTTTAAAATGGGGAACCAGAGGCCCAGGAAGCAGACACCAGATGAGGAGAGACCAACAGCTGTGGAAGCCGGCTGTGTGCTGGTTCCCGCAGGCCCGGGCCCTGCCATCCCACAGGGGCCTGGGCGGGCTGCCTGTGGCTCACAGGGGAAGAAGCAGGGGCTGGGCGAGGTGAAGGGACCTGCCAGGTCCCTCAGCAGTGAGTGTCAGGGCCTGCTGGGGGCCGGGCCCCTGCTCTCTGACGGGGGTCTGCATGCCTCCTCTCTGCCCTACTGCCAGTGGACCACCAAACCATCCGGAAACGTGGGCAAGTCAGGGGCCTGCTGGCTGCAAATCTCTGGAGTGCCAGGAGGAAACAGAGAATATCTTGTTACGGGTCTCAGGAAGGGCAGTGAGGGCTCATTGGCACAGGTTACATGAAGGCCGATTTCAGCTGAGGATAAGGAAGAACTTTCTGGAAAAGCAACCCATCTATAGTGGTTTGAAGGGTGGTCCTAAAAGATATGTCCACATCCTAATCCATGAAAACCATGAGTGTAAAACTTATTCGGAAAAAGTCTCAGCAGATAAAATTGAGGATCTTGACACGAGATCATCCTGGATTATCCGGATGGGCCCCAAATCAAATGACAAGAGTCGTCATAAGAGACACAGGCATACAGACTTGAAGGGAAGGCCATGTGAAGGCTGAGCAGAGCCGGGAGCAATGCAGCCAGCGGCCAAGGAATTCCTGGGGCCACCAGACCCTGGGAGACAGGAGGAAGCTTTCTCCCCTCCAAGCTTCAGAGAGAGCGCGGCCCTGCCTTGACCTCAGACCCCCAGAACTGTGAGGGAATACACTTCTGTTGTTTGAAGCCGCCCGTTGGTGGTTCTTTGTTAGGGCAGCCACGGGAAACTGATACGCCATCCATGGCTGGCATAGGCTGTGTTGAAGGGGGTGAGCTCCCCATGACCAGAGGTGTAGAAGCAGTGGACGAGAGAACACTCGCTGGGGACACTCGGCGTGGTCGGTGGGTCCAGGCTGCTGATGGCAGGGCAGGCCTCCAGGGCTGTGCACACTCTTTCTGGCCCTGACACTCCGAGGTTCCAGAGCAGGAGGGGATAAGAGGGGGGCTTTTAGTTACAAAGCCTAGGGGCCAGGAGAGCTGCGGACAGTTCTCCATGCGCTGGAAACAGTAATGCATTTGTGCTGTCAAGTACAATTTTATGGCCGTGCTGGGACTGAAGGCATTAGCTTCACTGGAAGGGAGACTGTGACCTCCAACCACTTTTGGAAGTAGGTGGGGAAGATAATGAAGGGCCAACACACTACAGATCAATCCAGTTATGAGTCAATCTGAGTCACATAATCTAATTTCACAGCATCAGGATCAAGAACATGGAGGCTAAAGGGATTCCGGAAAGAGTCTAGTTTCACTCTATTGGACAAGGGCTGGGGAAACTCAAGTGACGGGTGTTGTACACGTCCTGTGACAGGGAGCTCACTCCTTCCCAGGGGCTCCGTCACTTCTGTGAGCATTGCTCTGTTACACAAAATCCGTCCCTACGGGACCGGAGGGCTGCCTTCCAGCAGCTCTGCCCTTGGGTCTGTGTTGCCTATTTCTGACAGCTCTGGTGACCATGTCCCCAGAGGGTGTTCTTCTCTAAGCCCAGGACCTTAGGCCAGTCTTCAAGGTCCCATTTCCATTCTGGGCACCTCCTGTGGACACCTCCAGGTCATTACCTCATGGGACTCAGGTGGCCGTCCAGCAGTTCTCACACCCTCTCTATGGAAACACAAGAAGGTCTCAGCTAGTCTGAAGTGGGGACAGTCTTCTCCTCGGGTCCCCTAACACCTGCTCTTCTGCTGTGGCCCCTGGGAGGACCCGGGACCAGCAGCAGGCGAGGAAGCACGGGAGCAGTGCCAGGAACCCAGTTATCTGACTGCCGGGAGGGGCTTCCTTTCCCACTTCTAAGTGGCGGCCACAGAGGCAGGTGGTGGCTTCATTTTCTAGTGGGAACATCTGAGGCGGGAGTAGCAGCAGCTTCCTGTCACTGGGGGATTTTAAGTGGAGGCGCAGTTTTCACAGGATGCAGAGAGAAGATCCAAGAGTCAGCCTGGGACAAGGCAAGGTGGGCTGACCTTTCAAGTCCTTCCTGTCTGAAATTCCACTGCTGGGTGCGGTGGGCTCGGTGAGAAAGCCGTGATTTTGACCAGTGAGTAGAGTGGAGGTTCCAAGATGGGCGGTGACCAGGTGGCCTCTGGCAAATCACTTAACCTCCCCGAACCTTACTTTCATCTATAAAATTGGACGAGTCCACTAACCTCCTACGGATTTAGAGAATCCAGCGGAAGTCAGGATGTGAGCACGTGCTAGCTGTCCACAGACTGCCGTTCCCGGGGTGGCACGGTGGCAGCTGCACAGAGGCACACTCACAGGTTCTGGGGTTCCTCTCTTGTAACCCCACTTCTGACTCTGCCACGCACTGTCGGAAGGACCCTGGGCAAACAGAGCCTTGAGGTACTGCTCAGTGAAACCGGATACTGCTTGTACTAGGTCACAGGGTTGTTATGGAAACTGTGGTCACATGTGGCAGATACCAGCCTGGCACATAGCAAGTGCCTAGTCCTGGGAGCTCTGTTTATTTTTATGTTGATGGAGGCCCCTGGGAGAGAGGCTGACGGAGCGGCGACTCCCTGCGCTCCGCCCCCGGCTCTGCACCTACCATGAGAAGGCCCTTGTAGGCGTAGACGATGCCCAGCCAGATGGTCATGTGGGTGTTCTCACAGTGCTCCAGGAGCGGGCGGATGGAGATGTCCCGTCCTGCTGGGTCCGGCTGTGCAAAGAAAACAGAAACCCAGGGATGGCACTGGGTACCCCTCCAGCCGCTGGGTCCCTCTCTGACTGCCCTTTTCCTTCCCATGAGCCCCAGCCAGTGACACTGTCCAGGAGGGTTCTTGGACACCACTTCTTTCCCCACCTGTGTTCCCATGGGGGCGGGCCTCAGCCACCGTTCGCTGTCTTCTGTTTGTTGGTCATGATTCAGCCTGCACTAAAGTTATCTGCGTCCTTCATGACCCCCCCCCCCCCACTTGAGTCAGCGCTCCTGAGGGTAGAACCCAGTACTAAGCCTGGCCCAGAGCAGGGATCTGTAACATTTGAAGAAAGAGTGAGGGTGAGAATGAGGCACAGAAGTAGGTCAGGAGTCCTGGAGGTATCTCTGGGATTAACTTGGGGAGCTGGAGATACAGATCTACTGTCTGGGCCAATCACAGGGCCTGCCACGCCTTCTAAGGACATCCTCTTACCCACCACCCCATTAGGAAGCTATGGTGGTGTGCCATGCTGTGTACCATGTGAGCCATGGGCAGGGAGGAGCTGATTGGATAAGGGCTGGGCACCTGACCCTATGCAGCCAATCCAGAGGCTTGTCAGAGACTCATGTGGTTTCCTAGTGCAGTGTTCTGACCAAGAGGGTTGGTCAAAAGGATCCTACCCAAGCTCAGGAATTAGAACTGGGAAACTCTGGGAGAGAATTGGGGAGGAGGTGGCAAGAGGAGAAAAAGACACCCAGAGGATGAAAAAAATATATATACCATAGACATATTTTTCCTGAATCATCGAGAGTAAGTGGCAGACATCCTGACTCTTCACCCCTAAACATCTAACATGTATTTCCTAAGAACAAGGAGATCTCACACACATGCTTAACCCAGTTGAAGAAATTTAACGTTGATACAGTATATTATCTAACATACCACTCACTTTCAAATTTCACCAGTTGGCCGGGTAATGTCCTTTCAGGCAATCGTGGGACCGTACATTGCATTTACTCGTCACGCCTTTAGTCTCCTTTAATCTCAAACAGCTCCTCAGCCTACTTTGGTTTTCTGTGTCATCCATCTGAAGTGCCCGGTTCAGTTATCTGGTAGGATGCCCCTCAGCTTGGGGTTGTCTGAATGTGTCTCCATGCTCAGATTTCGGTTATGCATTCCTGGCAGGAGTCCCACGGAAGTGATGTTTTGATCTCCTTGGTGTTTCACCTCAGGGGCACTGGGTGGCACTTTGTCCCCTTATTGGCCATGTTAACTGTGACCGTTCGGTTGAGGTGATGTCTGCCACAACTCTCCACTTTAAAGGTACCATTTCCCCTTCGTAATCCATAACTAATCTGCTGGAGACACTTGGAGCCTGTGTGGGTACCCTGTTCCCCCACAAACACTGACCCGGTGAGTTCAGCGTCTACTCATGATTCTTACCCGAGTCACATTGTTTTGGGGGTTGCAAAACAGTGATTTTCCAATTCTGTGATTCCATGTAAACACTTGGCATTCTACTGTGAACAAGATCTTCCCTTTCTGCTCAGTTTTGAAATGTATATCAGCATGGGCTTTTATGTGTCTATTTAATTCAGTGCCTTATACTCCAATAACACTATTATTCATTTTGATGCTCATTTTCCCCCAGATTTGGCTAGTGGAAAACCCCTTCATGCTGCCCTGTTTTTCATCGTGTCCCTATAATTTTTTTGGGAGGGCACTTTTTTACTTCTTGGCACAAGATGTCCCAAGGTTCCTCACACTTTCCTCGCACCAGTCTTGGAATCAGCCATTTCTCCAAGGAGCCCTGGTTCTGTTTAGCAGGGGCTGGTATTTAGAAATCAAGATCTGGGCACAAGATGTGCTCACTGTTTCTGGGGCATCGTCACTTCTAGGTCCATCTATGTATGTATGTGCCTATGTGCCTTCCTTCCTTTCATCCCTCCATCCATCCGTTGTCGTTCTATCTGTATCTTTCTATCATCTGTCTAGAGATATAGATAAACTCTAACATCACAGGCTTCTTGCTTGCCTCCCTCTATTCCATATTTGCATCTTTCTTCTTTTATGGTGAGAACACTAGAACATCAAAATGGTCTCTCATTTGTTTAATCCTACAAATAGACCCAAAATAGTTTTGGAATTGCTATATCCATACATTGCCAAGAAATTCGTGAAGTTGAAGATTTCTTTGCAAACCTGCTTGTCTTTAGAACAGAACCACTGCGGGTGTCTCATTAAAGAACTGTGTTCAGGAAGTAGTTGTCCTGTTGAGGCCCGGGGTAAAGCCATATGCTGGAGGGGAAGGGCTGGCCAGAAGGGGCACTTTGCTGATGTAGCAGGCAGGCCTTAGGCGGGTGGAGGATGGAAACCGTCTTTCTCCTGGCCCTGTTCTCTAGACCTGGCCTTTGAGGCGGCAATGGCCGGGGCACCCCTGAGTTGGAGAAGCAGGAGTGCCCGGAGTGGTGGGGCCTGTGGGCTCAGGCTGTCTACTAACCCGATCATCCCATTGCATGCTCTCTAGGGTCTGCCTGACTCCCCTTTTGTTGTTCCAAGCCAGAGGAAGCCTTAGCTCAGCCTCCACGGTCCCATGGCCATTGAGTCCACATACAGGATGGAGTGACAGAGGAGAGAGGGGTTTCTTAAGGCTCTGCAGTGGTGGCAGTGGGTATGAGGGCGAAGTGATCCCCAGGAACCACAGTCAGCATGGCCAAGGCTACAGATTCCCCCTCCTCTGCTACCCACCCAGGAGCCGGGCTGGATTCTACCAAGGGTGATGGGCATTTCCTATGTCCTTGCATCATTTAACTGAGGAGACGGCCAGGACTTGGCCCCGAGGTCACCAGTGACTTTGTGGTGGAACCTGGATTTCTCTAATGTTGCACAACAAGCAGATACCACAGTGCAGTTGGCCCATTATGGTCACGCACGAAGAGCAAACCCATCAACGGTGACCGGGTCTGCTGTTCTACAATGAAGCAATAATTTGTGATGGGCTCTTAGATTCTCTGTGAGAGAACTTATTCTGCCACACACCCTTGTTCAATCTGATGATAACTCTGTTCACAGGAAGCTGACAACAGTTGTCTGGCTTGTATACCCCTGGTGACAGACCCCTCCCTGCACTCTTGAACAAGAACTTTCTCCTCCTGTACCTCCACCCATTGGTTGTTCTTGGGCTCCCCAGAATAATCCCAAGCTCTCTCCTCGAGTCTGCACACTATTCTTCAGGAGCGGGAAGCCACTGTGAAGGTACACATCATTACCTCCCAGATGTCGACCCGGTCCTTCAACCGGCTCAAGCTTGCCATTGGTCTGCAGGCCTAGGACTGAGCTCACCCTCCTGGTGAAGGTGAGTCTGCCTGAACCCTTGCTCCAGGTCTCCTTGGCTTTCAAGGAACGACCTTCCACTGGTGATTCGGATGCTCTTTAGGGCTGACTCAGCCCCAGCAGGTAATTTTCACCCAACTGCTGTTAGCCCTGTCTCCCCACTTCTGGAGCCGACACCCCAGCCTGGTTATCTTCCCCTCATCGGTAACCACCATCCCCACGCCCCCTCCCCCGACCCCTGTCCCCATCTCAGTCTGCCCTGACTTTCTGAATCCTGGAATTCTAATTCTCACGTCTGGTTTTTTAGCCCCCACCCATCTCCATCAGCTGAAGCACAGCCTTGGCTGCAAAGCTGGGTAAACAGCAGAAAATCCAAGGGCCCACCGAGATTTCAGAGAAGTCAGCGGTCTGAGGTGGAGAGGCAGGGCAGAGATGCCTTTACCCCATCTCCCCAGGACCCAGGCTCTGATCCAGAAATAAGCCACAGAGATCTCCTGGTAGTGCATGCCACCTTCACACAGGCCTGTGCACACTGGGCATGGATCACGATGGCAGGGGTAGAGGGTGGCCTTAGGAAGTTGCACGAGGGAGAGATGTGCCTGTCCAGTCAACTGGAAGGGGCAGGGAGCCCAGCCACTGCCCCAGTGCTGACTTGGAATCACTGTTATGCACCAAACCGCCACTAGAGGACATCAAAGAACTGTGCTGAGTCCTGACCAGCGCTGGCCTCTATGTGGATGTGGCAGCAATGGCCCGGACACCTATGAGTTGCTCTCAGAGGCTGTGAATCAACCTCTGCTGGAGACACAGAACTACATCTATGTCTTGGTGGGGCTGTGACAAAGCCCTCAGCAGCATCCTGTACTGCTTTAGAAGGTGCCCACTGGCCTTAAACAAGGCCGGATTTCCAGGTACCATGGAGAACCCCCATCCTGCTCTGGGGGCATGGGAGGGAGGACCTACTACTGAGGAGCTGGAGGGCCCGGCTGTACCCGCCCATCCCATCCACCCTGCTTCTACTGTGGGCTGGCTGTGCAGCCCAGAGCCAGTGAGCACAGAGCACCGATCCCTACAGCTGCCAAGCTGGGTCCTCACCTCAGGGCCTGACCCAGGAATGTAGGCCCACTTCCCCGCCCGGCTGTGGACTACAGCATCTCTGCCGGCCTAAGAACCTTTCCCTTGCTCTCCAGACTAGCCTACAAGCAAGCTCAATTTGCTTTCCTCTCTTCTTTGTTTTTGCTCCTTACTTGCTGCTCACCTCATTCATTCGTTCATTCAATACATAACTGCCAAGCACTGCCATTCTGGGCATGGGGAATGCAGCAATCACCAGGACTGACAAGAGCCTTGTCCTCATGGACTTCCATTCTAGTACGATCGGGATAATTCCACGAGGGGAAACCTAGAAGGGAGAACAGAGACTTCTCCAGTCATAGCTACCCTCAGGACACCAAGAACTGCCTGTCATGAATGATAGTGATGACAGAGAGACAAGCTCTGTACACCTTATCCTGTCAAAGCCTCACAAGAATCCTTGGTGTCGTGCTCATTTTACAGACGATGAAACCGAGGCACAGAGAGGGTAAGTAACTTGCCCCAAACCTCCAGCTACAAAGTGTCAGAGCTGAAATTCGAGCCCAGGTCTGTCTGACTCGCAAGCCAGCATTCTTTTCGCCCTCACCACATG